ATTCATTCTTTCCCCACTTGAATTCAATCCAACCATCAGCCATAAACAAGCCATTATATGAGCAAAGAAGTAGATACTTACTACTAGAGTTAACAGATCAAAAGCATAACCACCAAACCCTTTTTAATATAGTTATTCCACTATGTAATCATATACTCGAAAGATTCTAGCAAAAATAACTATCAAAAGAAGGATTGCAAGCGCTTGAACTATGCTATTTTATTCGATCATTCTAAAGGATATCATAATCCAGATAAATATTGAGCACACATCTAAATAGGATGATTTAGTTAAGTAATTAATAAGAATATCATTCCGAGTGTTAATGATTTAACCTTCTATATATATTTCTTTATTTATTGCGATAATCATCTCTATAATGTTTATACTAATAAATAAACAACCAAAGAATTAAAAGTTTACTTCTTATGAAGTTGAAAACGATACAATGAGAGCACATATCCAGAGAGAAATACATTGGATGAGAATATTGAAAATTTCCCAATAAAATAAAAATATATTAGAGGGAGAAATAATATTGTTTTAATTCTTGCCAGTGATCTAAGCTATAAATTAATTGCACTTAATACTTGATGTTTTTTTCAATTTGTCTTTCTGCAAATAATTTTCAATCGATAATAACTTAGTTTTAAATTTCTATGGCATTATGTGCGAAAATTATAACAGATTGTTTTTGAATTTCTCGATAATTTTGTTTTATTTTGCTATCTAAGTAAATTTAAATGTTTCTAACTTTTTTGATATTCTTCTACTAGATGTCATATTAATTAGTTTCTGTTCCTAATGATTATCACTTAGATTTTGGCTGAGCATCTCATCGTCGTTTCTTTCGCTTTCTTGCTAAAGGTATGAGGACGAGCAACCCTTAACGTATCTGATATAGGAAGATCTTGGAGAAAGCTAGGGTCCCATAATTGGCAGCCCAGTGTTCAAGACAATTAAACTAGGCGAATCCATTATTTATAAATAATAATATTTTAGTAAATAGATTATTCTTGATAGATGTATTTAAATGTTGCTGATATTTGGATTTCAATTGTAAGGCGATAGTATTTATGAAGAGAGTAAATCTCTTTATCTAAGGTGGATTTAAGTTTTGATTTAGCCATATTCTCCCCCTTGTCTAACAGATTGCTTTTTGTCAAGGTATTTTTAACTTAATTTGATAGAGTTGGAACAATTATTTTAGGGCATATAAGTTTGATATTCTCTCATCTAATCGATTTCATTGGAGTGAAACTAGTAGATAAAATAAAGGTAGTAAATAAGTGAATTCTCTTTTAAAATAAGTTCCTTAACCGGTTCCTTATTGCTAGGGGCCATAACAAAGTAATTTTTGGGATGGGACCCTTTTGAAGATTGATTGAAGACATATCTACTAGATTTTCCTCTCATCATCGCTAAGGACGGTGGTCCAGCATTGGTTGACGCTGTAGTATTGGGAGGAAGCAGACTAGGTCCTTAATTCTCTATGGGTTGATCTTCGCTGGCCTTAATTTCTATTTGGATGGGCTATTATTCCTGTTAGGTATTAGGACTTTCCTCGGAGTGTTTCTGGATTTCCCTAATCACTTCGTGAAATGAACTCTGCTTTTCTAAGAACTCCTCTACTGCCTAGGTGATTTGTTGCTAAATGCACATGGACTTGATTTTATTGCCCATTCTGACAAAGGTTTTTCGCTGTTGAAATGGATGTTCTCTTTGCTTTTTTAGTGATAGGATTTGCGCATCTGGTTTATAGTTGAGCAAAGGACAATCGATATTTGAATGAGTGTACATTTTACAGAAGTTACAATTTTGCAAGATCACATAATAATTTGAATTGAGCATCAAATTGTCTTTGATATTGTGAAACCTCTCAAAATCTTTATTGGAAGACCTGATAATTTTTAGAAAGATATCTCTTTTGATTTAATAGATTTCGGAGAACCCTATGCTTTAAGCGCAGGTTTTAGTAGAAAGACCTGTGAAGAACTAATATTCTCCAAATGTATTAGTAGATTTAATTACTTACAATACTTTACCACTTTTTTCTTCAGTGATTTGTATTTGTCCATCCTTTATGTAATATCTATAAATATATATATACATAATAATTACAGGTTGTTGTCAATCTAATCTTAATGAAAAATGTAATCTCCAGGGGTGAATTTTAGTTGCACGAGATTCTAAGACACCTCGGATTAGATTTGCTTTGAGAATTAGGAAGTGATTATTTTTATCTTTTGCATGATGTTCATTTACACATTGGTTTACAATTCTGACTTCAATTAATTAGGAAGATCATTAATAATTTGGTTGACATCGTCATTGTTCTCTTTCGATTCCATCTCGACTTAGTACTTGATGAAGTCTCTTACTCTGCTCTGAATCTGTTGATCTACTTAACTTTATCTCATGTAGGAATTCATTAGAATGAGGGATCTTTTGCATTTGTATTTGGCATCCTAAATACTCTTGAGTATCATTCCAATGGAACTCATTGAGTAACCAAACATGCAACTGGATAACAACATTAGCAAATTGACTGTGACCAATTCTGCTTCATTCTGTGGTGTGATATCCCCATAACCAACTGTGACCATAGTCATTGTGGCCCAATAGAAAGAGTGGTTGTATTTGACTGAGATGGGTCTGTTCAAAAGATTGTAGTGTATCAACCAGCAATTTTCAGAATCAGAGGTTAAATCGCCTACATGATGGAATACACACGCCATAAAATGAGCGAAGAAGTAGATCATCATTATTAGAGTGATCAGGTCAACCAACTAATTTACAGCACCTTATAAATAGAGAGATTCTATAAAGTTCTCATAATTTCGTTTCACCTTCAAAATAGAAATCGTTATGAGTATGAGTGCTATAATCTCATTGGTCACGGGTATTTAATTCAAATCAAAATACATTAAAAACCACATGGTCAAGCTAATGATATCTTCCAGTAATTGCCCTTTAAAGTAATGTTATATAATTTGCAATTTATCGAAAATGATTTCCCCTTAGATCATGATGGGCCTATTCAAATGGATGATGATGTCAATTATGATATGGATAATTAAGAACATCTCTGCTGCTCGATAACTTTCGTCGTCCACAAACGACGATACAAATGGACAAAGCCATAAACTAAAACAATCAAAGAATGTCGCACTCACATCCCATATCATCACCAACTAGCTCCCTGGTGCGAATATATTCGTAGTGCTATTCTAATTTTAATCTGGTTTTTATGACAATATTTTTACTTTAGTATTTTGTTTTATCAACTTTAGATTGCATGTAGCTTTCTTGAGTTAGTAGGTACTTGTTATGTTCTGACAAGATATAGGATTTCATTAATAAAGTATTTACAAATTTTTAAATTAGTTGATTCTGCTGCATGGTTCTTAAGATGGACAATCCTTCAAATTTTTTTGTTTACTCAGACTTTCGCTTGCTCGACTTTTAGTATTTTACAAAAATATTACTTATTGTGGTCGAGCAGATTTCCTTCTCGCAATATTTAAATTTATAGTTTTCTTTTTGTCTGCAGTATCGTGTATGCTCAACTTTATACCCTCACTATTATTTATCTTCAGCTGCTACTCAGAGTCTATTGATAGTCTAGAAGGCGATCTATCTTTCTCATAGCATTTGATTGGGCCAGGATCATATCTCAAAGATGGCCCAATTGCATTGTCTAAAAGTTTTCTACTACTGCTTTATGAGAGCATTTAATTTTCGTTTATAAATTAATGATTGCTAAACTTAATATTAACTTTTAACATAACCTTGCAAATTTTAAAGATTTCATTTCAAATTAAATGGGTAGGAAAAAAAACTGCCTTACTCTCATTTGATCTTTGCTATCACTCAATAAAACAACACTTGATTTGCAGTCACACAATCACAAACCATTTGAGAATCAAAAATAACTTAATTAAATAAGCATCTAGTACAATTGTTAAAATATGGAAAACATATATTTCATTTGTATAAAAATGCACACCATTACTTATTAGAGTTTGGTAAAAGAAGTTAAAACTCTCATAAATATCGTACTTAGTTTAAAGAATACTTATGTAGTATTAATTTATTGTGTATATATTTGATATATACAGAGTGTTTACCTGAATTATCTGTATTTTAATAATAATAAAATCTAATATAGATATTAAACTTATTCCTAATAATTAAAAATTCTTTGTAATTTCAAAGAAACATAAATAAAATTCAATAAACCCAAAAATATCATCATTTAAAGTGAGCAACTATTTATACAAGTAATTATATTGAAAACTAATTAGATTTTAATGATTACCTTTCAATGCAATTTCTAAATAATAAGTCGATATCTCAAATTTATATAAACTCTTGAAAATTCATCTAAAATTCAATCTATTATTAAATATTAATAAAATTATATTCTTAAAGATTGATCATTTATTTCTTAATTGAGGTGGAATAAATGACATCAATGAAACTGGATTCAAATACATATTATTACCATTTATAGTAACAAATGAAAAGTATATATATAAAACAGAAACATTACTACATTGTAGTAGAGTTGCTAAAATAAAAGAAAACAAAGAAATGTCCATTAAAACTAAGATGCTAGGTCATTAAATCGATTTTAGTTGATAGTTCAAGTTGTTATACTATAATTAATATCATGATTAATGTTTCATCCTTTGTGAGTGTATTAAATAGCCTCATTATTTCATCAATATAAGATGTAGCATATTGCTAATTGGAATTACATGTTAATATTGAAACAAGAAACAGGATAAATTTTATAAACGTTTCGCTTTAGGTGCAAATTGTATATTTGTTAAAGTCCAGTCCTAATAATAACTGTAAACCAATTAGTGGGATGGAGGGACTGAAGAAGATGTTGAAAATATGATATTTAGAATCGATTGCAACCATGAAATCGATGGGTGTTTACACAATAAATCAAGAGTGGCCACACAATGTAAAATTCAAAAGAATATGATCTGTGTTTTATAGATATACATCTTATTTCAAATATCTTTAATGTATTTGAAATTTTAGGGTTCTCTTAGTGCTCGTAGCAAATTATATCTATATTTTAAGTGCCATCCTGTATTCATGATTCGAGAATTATAGATGTACGCAACTGACTGTTACCTTAAGAAATATTGACTATTAAATTAATTAAATTGCTATACCTAAATATTCTAAAGGTATGATTGAATTACTTTAGTTTTTCATTATCACAATCTACCCACAATTCCCTTAATTATTGGATATTTGTCATCTTGTTTTTCTTCTCCTTCAGTATTGACATAAAATCTTCAAACTCTCTAGCATCCAACAACCTTAATCCTATGTCTTTGTTTTGAGTGATGTAACTTATGATAGCCTTTGAAAAGTTTTTGGTGATATTTTTAGTGTCATTGACTTTATTGATCTTCTTTGACTTTCTAATAGAGAAAGAATGATCTGACTTCCCATCATAATCTTAATCTTCAGAGTGATATGATTGTGATTCTTCAGCCTTACCTGAAAAAACAATAAATTTATCCTTCACCTTAAAGTGTTTTGCTTGTTAGTTAGTTTGTTTGGGCTGAGCAGGAAATCTATCTTGACTTTACATAATGGGATTCATCCTTTAGAGTAACAGTTCTTAAGAATAATGAGGCGGTATAGTTTGGAATGGCGAAACTAAATATCATTAAAGCAATACAAGGCATGAAAGGTAGTTAGGGCTTTAATAAGGAGAACTGTCCAAAGTTACTATCGGTAGATTCCAAGACTTTAGCCTTTTTTAGATTTATTTCATCCTTAAAGTGGACCTTGATAAATTTAATTTAGTATTGTACATAAAATTGAGCTCCCTAATATGGCAGCACTATTATACCAGATTTTTTCTTATTATTTTAATGACGTATAAGATTATTGAAACATTTAATAAACTAGGATTATACTTTTAAAAAATGATCCATCTATATAATATATAAAATATATACTTTAATTCTCGAATCTGCTCCATCAAAGCTTCGATAGACATTCTATAATTAAATTTATTATTATAATATTTGATTTTGAAAGCTTTCCTAACTCATAAGATTCCCTATCATATCGTAGTTTTTGATTAAATAATTAAATATATATTAAGTTTATTTCATTATTGCGTAAATCATTCAAAGATGAATTTTCCTCCCCACTTCAGCCTAGCAAACTGGACATAAATGAACCACACCTCTGCAATCATCCATCTACATCTAAATAACAAAAGCGCTAACACTAATACAAAGAATGATTAAAACAATTATCATAACAGTTCAGACAACATTATTAAGGCCATAAGTAATTGATCCTTGCCGAGCTTTAATTGAACATGTGTTTAAATTTGATTGTTACAATTAATGCTTGAAACTAAGCAGGGTTATCTAGTAAATTATATATATTAGGGTTGTTGAGGTACTACTAACTAAATTTCAGTGTTATTACAAATGACTGTCTTTTATTCTTAAATTCCGACACCCTTTCAATTTTTTATAATATTTGCTATTGATAAAAATTTCAATATTATTTAATTTCTATTTAAATGGTTTTAAACATATTCATGAAATAAGACTTCAAGAAAAGGGAATAATCCATTCTGATGAAAAAAGAAATACACTGAGGAATCATATTGTAATTGTTAAATGTAATATAATTTTCATCTTTTTGAAGACTTCTTAAGTAAAGCTTTATTTTTATAATTATCTAATTGATCTTTCATAGAATCTGCATGTTTTTTTTCACATTAATTCATCTTCTCTGTTGAATTTAGCTTAGTTGTTTCATTGAGTTATTTAATGTTAAATCCTTGATCTACATTATGTTCTGATGTTGAATCGACAATACTAATATCGAATTCACTGTTGTCTGCTTCTTCTTGTTCTCTTTTTTCAAATTCGCTGAAATTAAGGTTAGAAGGAATATTATATTATTTAACATTCAATTTCCTTTTTTTCGATAAATTCTTATTTTCATTAATTGTTTCCAAAATGGATATCATATCCTTAGTGCTATTTTTCTCGTTTTGAATTAGAATTTTATGCCATTACTATACTTATTAGAGAGAAGCAGCAGCCAAGAATACTTTATATTTTTCATCAGTTGTTTGGTCTCTGAGACGATTCCTGATTTATCTAACGCATTTTCTCATTTAACATTCTGTGTTCCATCTAGTAAAGACATAGGAGTGACTATTAAGATTTTCGTAGCGTTCCAATTTCTCAATGATGTTTAGAAAGAAGATGTTTTGCTCTTCATTGATGCCTTTATTGATGAGATCATTAATTTTATTCTTGATTTCGTGGAGCTTCAGATCAATGATCTTGCTTATTGGTGTTCCTATTTTGGCAAGGTGATAAACCAAGGACTCCTTAGATAAGCCTAAGTCCATAAGATCATTAATGAAGGTTTAGTAAAATTCAATGTACAAATCCTGAGATAAGTTTGGATTGGTCGGTTTGTGAGGATTTAGAATTAGGTTCTACTCGTAGGTCAAAGGAAAATTGAATGCTCTAGCGATTTTCCTAATCAATTGGAGATCCTTATCAGTTTTGTAAATGTCCACAAAGGAGAAGCAAAGTTCAGGAGTCAGGATGGAGGTGTTGTGATTCAGCAAATGCAAGTACAATCTTCGAAGAGTACTAATGTAGGCTTCCAGATTATTGAGTTCAAATTGATCGTAGAGTTGGGGTAATTTGGTAATGCAGTCTTTGAGATACTAATGAAGAGCTGAGGGTAGGGATATATAGGATTACCGTTCTTTGATTGCTATTATTGGATGTTGAGTGCTTTCTCTAGATCGAATAATGGGATTGCTTAAGAGACTCGATTATCCTTTTTTGTGGTTTCTTTGGTTTTGATGATTTCCCTGGTGGCTATGGTTGAGAGGTTGTAGACGTGGTCTTTGGAGAAGTGATGGATATAGAGGGTTGCTTGTTCTGGTTCAACAAAGGGGAATCTTATTTGACAGGCATAGCAGAAAATGAAACGCTGATCTTTGTTGACTTCAAATATGATTTTGAACAGTTGTTCGATGTTGGGTTTTTCCATTGAAATACTAAATATGCGGATTGTCTTTGAATTATGTAATGATTTATTTGGATTTTATTACAAATATTAAATTGATAATTGTAGAGTGCATGCAGCGTGTATAATGTATGTAAATAAAATATTTATATAAAATGAGTGAATATAATTTAAACTAAATAAATAATATTTGAATTTGAATAAATGAATTGGTAACACCCATTCGTTGATGTCTTCAAGCAGTTCGGTGTATTTGAGATAGCACACACGCAATCTAAGGGATAGGTTTCAGTGGTTTAAGTAACTTCTCTCAATAGATTATTAGGATAATTCAATTGGAAGAAAGATAATTAGATTGTTGGGAGCAATATCAGCAAACAATATGGTATAGATTCCAGATCCTTGTCAAGGAATCAAACAACTCGGATTAACTGGTCGATATATTTACATTGAATTCATCCCAATTAAGGGTCGATATTTTACTATTCATTTCGATTTGCAAATTAAAGACAGAGATCCTTTGATCAAACTAACAGTCTCGAACATGTATGATGTTCACAAAGTATTTCATCAATCTAACCAATAGGTTTAACAATCACAACTATTGATTCCATACCCTAAAAATGCTCCCAACAAATGGACCATCCTCATTTTGGATGTTGAATACTTCTTGGGTAATTTTGGATTACTACCAAGCAGTTTGTATAAGTCCTTTAAAGGAATTCACTCATTAAAGTCATTTCAAATTTGCAGTTCCATGAACATCAGAGGCATTTACACAAGTGATAATCTCTATGATTGGGATACTATGCCCAAATAGATGCTCTTTAAATTGGCCAAAGGATAAAAATGGACAGAGGAATATCAAATTGCATATTGGCCTGCCTTAGATGTCCAACCTCATGTCTTCAAACAACCCCTAGTGGAAGTGACTACTGATATTCTGGAGAACCTCTAGAAAATACAGGAAAATAAGGAGAAGTACAAATAGGAAACTCAAAAGTCTTTCAAGCAAGGTTAAATTCAACACAACACTTAATAAATTGAGGAGTTGGTTAAAAGGAGACCAGGAGATTAGAATGTGGCTTAGAGTAAGTCTGTAGATGCACAAGATCATCCTCTTTAGCCATATCCAATTCAATAATTAGAGAAGATAATAGGGTTTACTGTCAATTCATGTCCTGACATTAAATGGGGTAGACAAACTGATACGCAAAAATAGATAACATATGCAGCTGGATAGTTGTTGATTCAAAGCAATATTTAAGATGGTAAGTAGAAGTTTTTTATGGGACATTCTAAAGCAATTTCATGTTTGGATGTCAGCAAAGATGGAGAATGGTTAGTGAGTGGACAGAGTGAAAAGAATGCAATCATTAGAATATGGAAGAATAATTGCGATTGTTTGAGTGCATTTGCTACTCCATATTCTTAATTGAATTATCTATCATTTAGTTAAGATCGAAAAATGCTAGTAACTGTTGGACAAGATGAACACAATAGAGAAATTATAATAGTTTGGGGTTTAGAGAAAATAGAAACTAATAGAAAACCTATTTTATTTGCAAAATAAACGAGTTCATGTAATATCTTGGCAATCAAATTTTCACCTGTGGATAATAATAAAATACTGTCTTGTGGTCATGAGAATATTAGATTTTGGAGAATCAAAGAAGAACATCTTCCTGGAGCTAGTGTTGTGTTAAATCATCATGCAAGAAATACTACATTTACTAACTTTGATTTTGAATTCAATTATGAAGATCAAAATGTTAGTAACATTTATTTTGGATCTAAGAATGGGTATCTATTTTAAGTTGCTTATCAATCTCAGAAATTAATGCAGGTGTATAAAGTACATAATGATGCAGTCACAGCAGTATGTTTATCTGCTGGATTCTGTATTACTGGTAGTTTAGATTAATACCTTAGAGTTTGGCCCTTAGATTTCAATGAGTTTTACATTGAAGCCAAACATGAAGGCATAATTACTTCATTGGACATATCAATTGATGGTCTACAAGTGGCATGTGGAACTTCAACAGGAGGATTAGGCATCTTAGATATCAGCAGTCATCATTACAAGACTGTTATAAGATCACACACAAATGTGATCAATTAGATTTAGGTGCATCCGTATTCAAAGTTATTAATCACATTATCAGAGGATTGCACAATTAGGTTGTGGGACATTGAGAAATCTGACTAGGTTTACGAATTCACATTCCCACAAGACGATAAATGTGTTTGTTTATCATCATCTCCAATTGGAATGTATTTTGCAGCTGGATTCAAGTCTGGAATACATAGAATATTTGATATTGAGCAGACATCAATTCTTGTTGAGGGCAAGTATCATGATTTAGAGATCAAAAGCATTCAATATAGTCCTAATGGATAGTAATTAGTTATTGCAGATGCCAAGTCAATCTATAAACTTTATGATGTCAGTAGAGATTATCAGCCTATCAAAACCATTCAACATTCAATATAATCTCAAAATGTATGTGGACAATTTTCAAAGGATTCTGCTATTTTATCAATCATTGAGAATTCTACCAATATTGAATTGTGGGATACTTTGTCATTATAACAAATTTTAAAGATTTAGACAAGGTTCAACTTGAAAATATTGAAGTGGGCAGAGAACAATGTAGAATTATTGTGTGGAACTACAGATGGGAGAATAATTATTTATGGAATTGAAAGAGTTAATGACACGATCACAGCATACTATTTGAGAGAATAGACATTTATGCATAAGTAATCATTAAATGATTTTGTTGTCTCGCCAAATATGAAATATCTGTTCTCTGTAGGTGCTGAATAGTATTTGAAGGTTTGGGATTATGAATTTTAAATTAAGGGACCAGGATCTTGTTAGGTTTTCATTGGTCATTCCTCATAAATAAATTCTATTGATTGTGCTGATAATGGCAGTACCATCATTACAGCAGGTGGGAAAGAAGGAATCTTTGTTTGGAAGTTCCTAGGATACACAGGTAAGAATGAAAGATTGATTAGAATGGAATAAGAGTAATTAGTTTAATAATGTACCAAAATTGATATGCAACCAGATCAATTTGATTAACAGGAGTAACAATAAGAAGAATAAAATGAAAAGTTGGATGATTACTATGATCTCTAAGAAAACAATGAGAATGTTTAACCGAATAAGGATGCTCATTTGCATACATTTTAATAAAGCTAATTAGTGGAAATGTTTAGTTTGGTTAGACAAATACCATAGAAGGAGGAATAAGAGGAAGAATAAGGGTTGGCAAACAAAAATGTCAACACCCCATTTAAACCTGATCACTTCAAACCATCCAGACTATAATAAGAGTTTAAGCCGATCACATTTGAATTTGAAAGATAAATATTAAATAAGAGAAGATCAAGAAGTTAAATCAAAAAATAATAAAACAGATAACATTAATCCACCTAATTGCCCTTCAGACAATACATTTTACCACAAATTAAAGGGTAACCACAACAACCTACTTTATCTTGCAAGTACATGGTTGGCTACAATACAAAGACACATGATAATATCATTTGGTGTTAATCTTATGGTTGGTATGCCTATACATCCTAAAATTACATAATCTTTGAAAAATTATAGTAAGATAGAGAATAATAAATTTTGAGTTTCAATGCCACAGTTAGTGTCATCTATCTTGACAAAACTGAGAAACACTTAATTGTTGGTCTTGCACAAAAAGTATAGGATGCTGCCCCAATATATGTTTATGAAATCTAAAATAATGCTAGTCAATTGGGATTCAAATAAATTGCTTAAATGAATTTCCATACTCAAGGAGTTCATCAAATTCTATTGACTGAAGATGAAAAGTACCTCATTTCTGTAGGTAATGGAAAAGAGTGCACAGTTGTAATTTGGGATTTCTCAACCAAAAAATTAATTACTTCTTCTTATACTTTGGATAGAATTAATGATATCAAATTGTCAAAATATTCATTTTCTAAAGAAAGAATAATTGAATTTGCAACAGTTGGTAGAGATCAAATATATTTATGGGCTTTCACAAAGGATCATAAATTAGAATATTTTGATGTTTTCATTCCTAAGAATGTCAACACTAATGAACTTGAAGAAATAACTACGTTTGATTATATAGTTTACGAGGGTAGTAGAAATAAATAAACGTCGTAATCGTTAAACTTATCAGAGAGAGTATCTTTTGATAATAGTTAATAATCATAAACTGTGAAAACTGAAGAGATTCTTTTGGAAGAAGGCTCTAAGAATTAAATGTCATTTCCTTAATTATAATAAGAACCAACACAAGAATCAATGAAATAACAATAGTAATAATAATAATAAAATAAAAATTAAATTACTTAATTACTAATCTTGGGATTAAAGTCAGGGGAAATTGTGATTATGAAGTATGGAGAATTTAAATCTATCTACAGAAAATAAATTACCAATGCTGAAATCACTTATCTTAAAGTGAGTCAAGCAGCAGGTAAGATTATTTTAGGTAGTGCAGAACATTCCTTTTTTATAATGGATATTAAATCAGTTTAAAATTTGTAATCATTCCTAGATTCTGGGTTTGCCTTTTAGAGAATCCAATTACCTGCCATGGTTTCATCTTACGTGTTGGATCCCTTTTACACCTAAGGAATCTTCGGATTGGCTAATGGCAATATTTATCTGATATCTTTTACGACCAAATAATACTTCCTTTTGAATGCTTCAAATGGCGATTAAAGTGAAATTGAGATTAAGTTATGCAAATTGGTTGAAGATAACATTTTAGTCACAACCTTTAATCAAGGCATAGTTAAGTTATGGAGAATGGACACGGCTGAATTGCTTGTTGAATATTAATGGGAAAAGGAAATAGTTGAATTTTTCTATGATGCTTAAATCAAATAGATTGTATTTATATAGGAATTCGGTCAAATAAAGACTATCCATGTTGATAGATTGGATATCTATGATTAATACTATCATATAGGAAAAGGAGGACCTGATAAGATAATTTCCTGCGTTTTTGGAATCTTTGACTCAATTCCAGGAAAATTCGTTTTGGATGAGAGTGGTCAGCTCTTCTTTTTAGAACATCTCTATAAGAATCAAGAATATATCATCAGATACATCAAAGCGTTAGAATTACCAAATGTTTGCTAATTGGTAGAACAATGTGAAAAGAGAGTAATTTTTGCAATAGAACAAGACACTGGTGTAGTTTCAACATTGTAGATAGATTACAACTCAACCAGATAATATCCATTTGCATTTACTCTATTTGATTAGGTGAATTTCCTAGCGAATCCACATGGCAATTTAGACACTGAACAATCACAAAAAGATACTTAGGCACTTTACTCTTCGGTTGATGCTTAGACTTAAATTACACCTGCACAAGGATTTGATAATGTTTATTTTGCTATTCTCAACACACTACAATATCTTTATGGTAGAAATTACAATAAGAAGCAGATCATCTTACTAGTCAATCTAAGTGATTTCCCTTTGTATTTATCATTGGATAACAATCTCAAAGTTTATGTTGTCACTCAAAGTATTTAATATTATTGATTTAGGTGGCTCCATCGAAGTGGTTTTACCTAATGATGCTTCGAATCAAAATTAGATTCAAATCAGTTAATTAAATAGTTAAATTGATCATATTATTTGTCAGAAAAGAAAATCCAATTTTGTTATCACAAACAAAACTATCATGAATTTTTATTAATATATCTGAATTGTTATAATATTAATTTATTTATCATGTAATCACACAAATTCTAAAATAAATAATTAACATTGTTAGACTTAGTTCTAAAGAATGAAGATGATCGATACAGAATAAAATCATCCACAAATTCAAGTAGATATGATAGAGAAGATACCCATCATTTACAATATAATTAATTAGGTATTTCCTTATATTATGATGCCAATATTACCGGTAATGAATAATTTGTTAGCAATCATTTGTTTCGTTCAATTCTCAAAAATATCGAAGAAAAACTTTTAGAACTTGAAACTAGAATTGATAACAAAGACCACCTCACTAAATTCACATTTCAAATTGATCAACTCAAACATCAATCAAATCGCAATCCATTTCTTAAAGATGACAACACATGGCAAGAATACAGACGGCAAGACAGTCAAATTTCAGAAATGATGGATGATCAGTCTGTTAAAGACAATGGAGTCAAATTTCAAAAGGCGAGTAGATCAAGATCAACTTGCACTAATAATTATGATGAGTAACTAGATTAATCTAACAATAATACTTCAAATCTAAAATCAAGAAAAAATAAGATCACCGAAGAATCTACTTTCTCTAAGTTAAACCTTTTTGAAAAGAAACTTTCGTAATTTTAAGATTAATTCTAAAAATAATTATAAAAAGAAGAAATCTCATTTAAAAAATTAGAATAACAAGTGTAAACTGCCTTAAAGGAAGCTGAAATGAGATTGCTTCAAAATACGAAATCGATGGATAAGTATACCGAAAGTTTAAATAATTATAGCGAATATCATAAGGAATTCTTAACTAAGTTATCCTAACTGACAGCTTAGATAAAGTATGAATCCTATCTATCATAGCAATCATTAATAGGAAATCAATCGATTGTCGGATGATTAAAAAATACCTTTCATTTAGTTAGAATCAACTATTGCAGCAATGAATAAACTTCAAAATATCCACAATGATTAGATACTTTCAATAAAGGAATCGTACACTTACTTGGAAGCAGATATACTTGCAATAATGAAAAATTACAAAGATCTGATACTTGATAAATAAAATAAAAGTAACAGGTGACGATTGTATTTGAATATGATTACTTTATTAACTATATTAAATAGATTTGAATATAAAAATCAAAAGTAAATCATTTGATATGCTCTGGGTTTTAGATGGGAAGTTCAGAATGTACTTTCTTTGATATCATTTGATCCATAAATTATAGAAGTTATTATTTTTTTCGTTAATGGTTTTCCAAAGCAACATTTAATGTTTATTGATTCATCCTAACTCCATTATCATTGACCTTTGCTTGTTCTCTATCTAAAATGTACCAAGTAAACTAATAATTAGATTATTTTATTACATTAGAAATATATTCAATCAAATTGCAAGTAACTACAATCATGATTCCAATTAGTATCAGACAAGCAATAATCACTCCTGCAATATATTCCACATGATATCTGAATTGCATTCTATTTAGGATGGATAGTATGATCAAAGTTGTAATCAGAATAAGCATAGACAAATTTATCGATAAGTACATTAGGACCTTTCTATGTTTAAGTGGATCCTTAAATGCCTTAGTGAAATCGATATCTTTGTAAGACTTTATAACAAAGTTGAAATGACAATTTTCACATTATAATGGTTTTGTTATTTTATTGAATTAATTGTCTATGTATTTTTCACAGAACTCCTTTTATTCACATTATTAATGGTTGTGTTGTTTGGATCTACATAGACAAGGTCTGATGAAGTTAGAAAATTAATCAGCCTGTCCACAAATCCCACAATATTTTTCCTCTTGTATTTGTTCTTTGATTGAAGATGAGCTCTGTTTTCTGGTGTTTATTTTGTTAGAAATAGATAAGCGAGAACTCTTGCCTTGCTTTGATTACTTCTAGATAGTTGATTGATTGTATGAATCTTCTTGACTGACAAATGTGAATTGGTTTTCGAATTCCTTCTAACCTTGTCTGGGTTTGAGTGGTGACAAGTTGCTTATACAACTTGTATTGTTGGTTGAGTCTTGATTGTTTCTATCCGTGTTCTCTGAGAATACACCTTCCACCAATTAATGTATCTTCTTATTTTATCTATTAGAATTAATATAACATAATACTCTTTTAATTTAGAGATTGATTAATCAAGATGGGATTAGTTTGTGCGTATAAGATCTGAATTCAAAGTGTTGACGTTGCTATTTATTCTAAAGCTCAAAATCTTTGGACTTGTTTCGGTCTCCATAATCCTTTATTATTGAGAAATTATTATTTTTTGCGCAAAATATAAAAGATTTATGAATACCCAAGTAACAATTTACCAAATTTCACTCTGAAATAAAACCAAAAAAATGTTATTATATAATAATTAACAATTAATAAATGCAAATTAATAAGCAAAAATAAGAGTATTAAGAAAAATACAATTCTTTTCGTAATCATCCTGCCTTTAACAGACTAAGCAGTTACATTCTCAAATCCATAATCGATTGTGTCAATACCTAATCATTTATCAAAAATTAAAGTGTTTACATCGAAAATGAGTTAATGACTAATGTATACATTGTGAAATCTGGAGAGTTTAAAGTAAACCAATAAATTAATACATAGAGATGAGTAAAAGGATCTTGTACTAAAATTCTGTATTGTATAATCAAAAGAGATGGAAACAATTTGAGATTTGTTTATTGGAAAAAGGTGAAACTTTTGGAATAGAACATCAAGATGAGGAACCAAAAGGATGTTATAAATACTCAGTGACTTGTCATTCATATGAGGGATCACTGTATTCACTAAAGCTAGATTAGATTTCTTAGGTTTTATAAGATAATCACATCAAAGTATCTGTAGATAATCTCTTTTAATATCAATAACAATTAAGTAAGAATAGGCTTTACATCAATCGAGAATAATAAATTAATCAATTGTATTCAAACATTACTCAGTCCTTAAAACACAGAGAAATTAGATCATTTTCAAATGCCAATAACGAGAATCTGAAAATTAGATCGCAATCTAATGTTAACAATGAGGTTGTTAACAACAATAATAGATTTTAAAATAGATCTATCAGTTATGACATCTCGTATTGTGATAAAATATAATCGTTGATTAACTACTAGAAATAAATAATCAATAATCCAAGAAGGATTATCAAGACTGAAATTTTGGAGGATGACAATTATGTAAACTAATCGGTCAACAATCACATTAGAGCATTTAAACCATTTATCAGTAATTTTGCTTCGGGAAGAAATCTAACCAAACGAACTCAGCTATCTTCTTAGGATAAAATAGAAGAATCAACTCAAAATGAAAAGATCTTCAAATTGAAGGTACTCCTCAAATTGGGATGCAGACCGAAAAATAAACTACAAATCAGATTGCATTAAATTCATAGTCAACATCTATCCAAAATGTTCCCATTCCATCCTAAATGATTGATTAATAATAAGCTTCTTTTTACAATATTAATTTCTAATTATTTACTAATGTCAAAATAATAGCAATAGCAACTCTCTTATATATGCAAAGATTCACAAAACCAAAAGGGTCAAGGTCAATCTTATCGAAGAGTATATATGAATGATCTTATCATTAGATGAATAACAATCAAAACAACTTCGATGATAAAAATGGTTAGAATCAAAAAAAATAAAATAAATACAATAGAAGAAACAATTCATAAGAAAAACAATAGAATTGGCAGAATCCCTAATCTTAATCTGTTATAGGTACCTATTCAAGTAATTTTATCAAGCAAGAGCTCAAATTAATCAACCCTTGAATAAAATTTATGATTCTTAGACACTAATTTCTGCATTTCAAGAAAATCTTTAACCTCCTAAAGAATTTGAAGAATTCATAGAAAACATTCCCCATTTATTTTCTAAAGTTTCTTAGAAACCTTTAATTTCGTCTTAAACATTATTCATCCAAAGTGATGATGATGAACCACAATGGATGCAATCTAATGACAATTTCTAGATCTTAGATATCGAAAATGAAATCGAAAAAAAGAGAATAGAATATTAAAAATAGCATGGAACATATGAGAAAAAGCAAGAGTAAAAATCCAAAAAGCAAAATGAAGTCATTTAAGAAGAAATATCAGAACTTTAATAGGCCAAAGAAAAGTATCGATAATTGAGAGAATAAGAGGAAAAACAATTGTAAGTCGCCAATGAAACCAAAGCAAAATTATAAGAATTATTTAGCTACTCAGAATTGGAACAACCCAAGAGTGCGAATCCCTCCATTAATTCATAGGTGCTATCAGTAGAAGAAGTTGAAAAATAAGTATTAGCTTCTACCAATAATAAATATAAAGATATCATCAAAGTTGAACAACCTCAACAAAAGCCAGAGAATTATTTTAGTAATTTCAATAACAATGAAACCGATGACTTTTTTGAATAATTGGAAGAAATGGGAATACATATTCAAAGAAAATAACAAGTACCTTTATAACCTACTGTCAAAATTTCAAGGGACAAAATTAAAACCACTCCATTTTCACTACAAGCCTAATTACATTCAAGATCTGCAAAAGAATCTTTGTGGTATTATATTGACGATTTTGGAAAAGTACAAATAATTATCATTTTAGATATAAGGAGCATTTACAACTGAAAATATGGATCAATGGTTTTAGCACAAATACTTGAAAGCCAAGTTAAATATCTCTTGGGAAGTCCCTGGAAAGTGGATTACTTTAGAATAATATTTAATTAATTTAGATCAAATTGAAAAAAAACTATTAGATCCAAAAGGTGCTATGGATCCACTAACACTAAAAACTAATATAAATAATATTAATAATATTCAATTAAATAATCTATAGCAATTGCAATAAATGAATGCATTTAATATCAATAGCTTTCAAAATCAATAGATGAATGCCTATTAATATTAAGTTAATAATAATTAATATCAGCCATATCAAACTCAACAAATGAATAACTTAAAAAACAATGTAAATAAAAAAAAAAATAATAATGCAAACAATAATAATGGTAAAGCGCAATAATATAATAAATATGATTATCAAAAAAATAATTAATCATTATATTGATTTAAATTTGAGAATTATATTATAAATTATTGATAATAATTATATGATAAATCATTAAAATCCAAATTGTTTCTAAATAATATATATATGTTGTACCTTTTATCCTGAAAAATTGTCATAAAGATAAGATTCTTAATTTTTACGGGGACTTTCATACCTTAAATGACTAGTTGATAATCCAATGCTATTATCAAACTTGGATGAGAGGAAACTAATATTAGTTGCTTCTTTTCTTATTTCATTATCTATTCGAATGAGTTCTCTTTGATAGTCATCTAAATATAATGGATCAGGAGTGAAAGTTGATTTTGAAATTTTTGAAGGGACTCCAGTTTGTCTTGATTCTTAAAATAATCGATTACAAATTTCCTATTCCCTAGCTATTTCCTTTTCGTAATATTTGATCAATCCCGATTCCTCTCTTTTTTAGGTGTAAATATTCGGTATATTTAATTCATCACATAACTTTTTAATTTTATCTTCTTCATCCCTAATTTGCAAATGATAATAATTTAATAAAGGACTTTCAGTATAATACGGTTAACTCTCTTACAGCAATTTTGATTGCACAATTTGATCTTATTTTTCATCTTTCTTTTATTCACTTTATTCTTGATTTGGGTGCTATTTTTATGTTTAATTAGGATTAAATGATTCTTAGAGTGCATCACTCTTCTATAAATCAGGTTGAGAATAATTAATATCTTAAACTTCAATTTAATTTTATTTAGGTTATTCTTATTCTTATTATGGAGCTTCGTTTTGCTAATCATCTTGCTATTCTATTTAATAAAAGATCTAATCAATTAGATTTTGTAGGTTGTTTGGATTACTATCTATAATGATAAGGAATTTTTCTAGAATTTAATCCTCAATCTCCTAATTTATACTTTATAGCCAATTTTTAAGGGAATCCAATGTGATCAAATTTTCACTCTCGAATATTGCTAATTCGTTAAGGTTAATTGGTTCTTAAATATTAGAGTATTGACTAAAATGATCACATTTCTTACTTATAATTTGTTTTTAATTGTTCAAAGAATGCTGTTAATGTAGCTTCAACTTCTTTTGGTAATAGCATGCTTTAAGGCATTTCATAGGATTTGTGGTTAAGAGCTTAGTCTTTTACTTAGTCATTAGTTTTAGGTAAGATCGCTTATTGGAAACTTTGAAATATTGTATATAAAAAGTACTCTGCTAAAGTTATCAAGTTGTCCCTATCAACATCCAAGACTCTAAATATGTAGTTTAATTCTTCCTAGGTCACTTGAAGATTGTTATCATCCAGAAATTCTAGGATAGATTCTTCTTTCATTGCATTCTATCTGGGCTAATCAAGTCTTTTATACACTCACTATAACATGGAGAATAGATACCTGTGTTAAGTTCAAACATTTCTAATCTTGCTAATGCAATTCGAATTTCCTCTAATTTATCTTCACCCTCTACTGTGATTTATATGAATTCACAAAAATTCATGATAGAAAAATAAAATGAAAATAAAATTTATTAAATTTTACAAGAATCTACTTTTGACTACATTATTAAACATTCTAATTATCAAATTCAATATAAAAAAATTATTATTCTTATAAGTTTCTGATTATGCAGTAGGACAATTATTTAGAGGAAGAGATTCAGGATGAGGATGAAGAAATAAGAGAGTAGAAGGAAGTTCATGAATTCGCTAAGGAAATAAAGGAGAAGGTAGAAGAAACCAACAAATTAAACAAGGAATAATAGGATTAATAAAAAGTGAATGTAAGTTCAACAGTGGGACCAATTAGAGTAAAATTCGATGTGTTAAGATGCTTTTTCGATAGAATGAGTAAAGTGAGAGGAAAAAAGAAGAGTGAGCTTTTAGATGTTTTGACTTAATTCTTTTTCAAACCTCCTAGAATACCTGAACACACTTATATAATAATGAGACTAATCATTCCATTCTAAGACAGGGATAGAGGAGTCTATAAATTATAAGAAAAAAACTTGGCTAAATTATTTAGATAAGCTTTAGGATTGTCAGACGATGATTATCACAGGATGGCCAATTATAAATAAGCTAGTATGTAGCCCTATGGGGCTCCAGTCGGTGATTTTCCTATGGTTGTTCATAATGTGATAAAGGATTACTGCAGAAAGGACAGCATAATAACTATATCAGAAGTGGACTAATTACTTGACAATCTAGTTAAGGCTTAAGACACGAAAGAATAAGAATTGGTGATAGTTGATTTAATAAAAGTGTGTACAGCTGATGAGATTCTCTGGATAATAAGAATTATATTGAAAGACTTGAAAATTGGTTTGAAATATGAGAAGCTTTTATAATTGTTTCATAAAGATGCTCCTGAATATTATAATGCAACATCATCACTAAGGGAAGTATGCAAAGAATTTGTTGATATAAATCATACTCTTAAGAATGTATTGAGAATATTCCATGCAATCAAACCAATGTTAGCAGCTAAGAAATCCCCAGAAGAAATAAGAAAATTAATTGAAGGCAAAGAATTATTGGTTGAAACCAAATTTGATGGAGAAAGAATATAATGTCATTTCACTCCTGAAGTCATCAGATTTTTTACTAGAAATTCAAATGATTACACATATTTATACAAGGATAAATTAGGAGATATTGTTAGATAAAGTGTTTAAGCATAATGTGCAATTTTAGATGGAGAAATCATAGTTGTAAATAAAGAAACTGGAGACAATGTTAGATTCGGCTTGAATAAAACTGTTGCTCTGAGTAAAGACGTAAATGATGATGCCTTTGGTCTTTGTTATAAGATTTTTGATATTCTCTATCTCAAAACATACTAAGGATAAGAAGTTAACACTATGAGTGCTCCTTTATCTACTCGTAGAAGTTTATTGTAGAGGATTATAGTACCTATTCCAAACTAATTAGAAGTAGTTTAAGCTGCGACTATTAAATCTTTCGAAGAACTTATTTAATAGTTTGATATGGCCATTGAAAGAAATTAGGAAGGCATCATAATTAAATAGATGGATTCTCAGTATTTACCTAATGAAAGATCCACTAAATGGGTTAAGATGAAGGGAGATTACGTTGAAAATATGACGGATAATTGTGATTTATTGGTTATTGGTGGCTATTTCGGAACATAATCACATAGAGTAGAGACTTTTGATGAATTTGACAGAATTACACATTTCTTAATGGGGTTAGCATAAAAAATAGATAAGAATCAACCTACAAATAGTGTTATATTACCATTTGTCAAAGTTGGAACTGGTTTCACTGATAATGAATTATCAACAATCAGAAATAAATTAAGAAATCATTGGATCAAGAAGCAGAAACCTAATTACATACCTTAGAATTGGAGTCCTGGAATTAATGATAGACCAGATGTATATATTAATAATCCAGCTCATTCTATTATATTTGAAGTTAAAGCTGCAGAAATCACAAAGTCTAATACTTTCCCAACTGATTACACTTTGAGATTTCCAAGATGTTACAAGACTAGGATGGATAAAGATTGGTATGAAATGATGACCATGCAAGATTTATAAAGTATGATCAATGATTCATAATACACAAAGAACCTCAAAAAAAAAAATGATAAAGAAGGCAACGATAAACAAACAGATGATGAGGTTGAAAATGAAGATAGACCTATGAGATAGGCTAAAGAAAGAAAATAACCCTTAAAAAAGGGTGGAGCCCATTCTAAATAGATTACCATAATGACAGAATATTAAGGGTTAGACCCAAGAAACATCTCAAAAGAATCCAACTTATTTGTGGGATGCGAATTTTACATTGTTAACTTAGAAGAAGATTACAATAAATAATATTTAGAATCTATAATTCTAGCCCAAGGAGGAACTTGCATATAAAATTATATTGTAGAAAGTGTCACTCATGTAGTGGCTTCAATTATCGACTTCAGAGTGAATTCAATCATTGAGAAGTTTCCAACCACCATAATTAGACCTCAATGGGTTATTGAATGCATTAGAAGGTCACAATTAGTTAATATTGCACCCAGATTTATTTTATTTGCCCCTTTAGCTATCATGAATGAAGTAAATAAATTTTACGATAAATTTGGCGATTCCTATTTCGAATTGATAGATGAGTTCGCTCTCAAAGATATATGTGATAATATGAAAATCAATGAACCTATTAATTAAGATGATTTACTATTGTTGGAAGATGAGTTGTTATACTAATTGTAAAAACTGTGGATTTTTCAGCATAAGGTTTTCTACCCTTATTGTTTAAGTCACTAAATATCTGATATAGAATTGGAAACTTTCAAAGCTAGGGTGATAGCAAGAGGTGGTTCCTTCGTAAGCAGCATTTACGATGAGAAATTAGATTTCATAATTTTATTTAAAGATTAGACTTTCATTTAGAATGAAAGATTGAAGTAGTTTTTTAATGATAAACCATATACGAAAACAACTACATATACTTAAATGATGCAATTGATGGAAGAATAACAGTAAAAAATATTACCATCTTGATTTTTAATATTATTATTTTTAATTATGGATATTCCATACAAATCAGCCTTGCCATTTGTGTTGCTAGTCATCAATGCAGTTCTAGGTTCTCTATTTTTTGGATATTCTATTTCCTATCTAAATTCAGCCTCAAATTTTTACCCCATTTATTATCTAATTAATGAATATGATGTCTCTACTTAAAATTTGCTCAAAGCTCTGGTTGGAGGTATCGAAATTTAAATATAGTTACTAGCTATTTTCACTTTATCTGCAGGAGCAGGAGCGATTCTATCAGGAAACTTGTTACAATAATTTAGTATAAGAAAATCTTTTATGATTACTGATTTCATTGGAATAATCGGTGTAGTACTTGAAATAATACCCAATGTTTATTGGTTTTACCTTGCTCGAATTTTTATTGGTTTTTGTGTAGGACTCAATTCCTCACTAATTCCATTATATATTAAAGAGTTTTCACCTAATAGATTATCTGGATCACTAGGGGCGATGAATTAACTTACAATCAACATTGGATTATTGATAGGTCTTATTTCAGCTTTGTAATCTTTATTTTGAATTTAAGTTTTTACAAAACCAGTGACAATTCAGAAGAATCATCAAATGATAATGTTTTTAGATTGTTTTTAGAATTGCCCCTCATATTTTGTTTACTTAGGACTTTATTATTGATTTTTGTATTTAAAAACGAGCCACCATCATACTATGTCCAAAAAAAACAACTGATAGAGGTATTTGAGTTGCTAATTAGGCGAAATAAATAGTGGAGAGATATTATTTAAGAGAAAAAGTAGATTAAGTCTTAGAGACGATCAAGTCAGTTAATGAATCTAAGAAACTCCAGAAAGAAACCTACAGGGATCTGCTTATGAATTACGGTCAAAGAAAACGTTTATTAATTGGTTGTGGACTCTAAGTATTGTAGCAATTTTCAGGGATAAATGCAATTATGTTTTTTTCTAAAATCATGTTTTCATCTGTAATTATTTAATGCAGGAATATTTTAGATTCTCAATAACAATGAGACCAAAATTAATTGGGCGAATGTGGCAGTTGGTTTAATCAATATCATATTTAGTTTTTTGGCAATTAGTCTATTATAAAAGTTTGGAAGAAGGACTCTCTTGTTATATGGAACTATAGTTTGCACCTTTTTCCTATCAATTGCCTTTGGTTTCTCATTTTCTCAAGACCCAAGTACCACCATAGGAATCTTGATTGTGTTGGCTATATTTGGATATCTTGGGGCGTTCCAATTATCTCTAGGACCTGTGGCTTGGGTATTCTCAAAATTATAATAATTTAGATTTATGATGCTGATATCTTGTCTGAGAAAGGGATGTCTTTGGCAGTGCTTTGTAACTGGATAAGCTGCACAATCATAGCATTTGCCTTCGTTATTTTGGATATTGATCACAACAAGGAGAGACTGTCTATTGTTTTTGGCGTTTTTACTGGGTGCTGTATTTTGGGTGTGTGTTTCATATTGAAGTTTGTTCAGGAAACAAAAGATAGAACTTAATCAGCAATCAATATATATTTCTCATTAACCAAAGTAAGGGAGGAGGGTTTGTTAGGGTGAATATCATATTTTACATAAATTTAATTCGATTTCAGTAATATAATCATAAATGTATGAGGAAGAGTAAATATATAAATTTATTGAAAGAATATAAATATATAAAATTAATAAATGGGGAATTGTGTTTCTAGTTAAGATGATATCCGAAATGCAAATAAAGTTTCACCTGTCTCATTGTAAGAATGTTTATAGATTAAAAAAGAACAATAAAACATTTCACTTGGAATCGTGATTCTCATGGTCTATTCGATTATGAAAACAAAAATGTTATAAAAGGACAGATCAAAACAAATACCCAATTAAGTAATATAAGCAACTAAATTAGTGAGATTAATTCGTTAAAAAGAAAACATTAAAATAATCTAAACGAAAGAGGAATTATAAGTAGCAATTCCATTTATTGTTATAGTAATTCTAAAATTAGCCAGATGTCATAGAATTACTTAAATTGACTCGTTAATTTTCTAAATATCAGGTTGAATCTAGTTTAAGGGTCTCAAAGGCAGAAGATCAAGAAGGATTAAATGACAACTGCCCATGGATAGTTGTAAAATCAACCAAAAGTCAATTATCTGATGGACAAGTATGAAATAATAATGAGCAATAAAGGGATATGATTTAAAGGAAGGAGATTACGTAAAATTGGGGAGAGTGAGATTTAGAATTAGAGAAATCAAATGTTCAGTTGATAATAACAATACAAACAAAGGTAACATGGAACCAGAATTGTAAAAGTATGTATCTGAGAAATGCTTAAATACAATGAATATCAATACGTAGGAAGACGATAAAAGAAGTTAATCAGAGGAACCCTGTTGCCGTATATGCTATAATGATTCTTAAACAAATAAAGACAATCCCTTGATTGATTGCTGCAAATGTTAGGGCTCTGTTAAATACATACATATTTAATGTCTATAAACATGGTTAGTTAGTAAGTTATCACCTAAAACAACTAAGTTTTCAGTTTCATTTCAATGGAGATAATTTGATTGCGAAGTTTGCAAGGCGATTATTCCAAGTAATTATCAGAAATATTGGATTTCTAGGTAGAATTAGATATCAGGACAGAATTTTTGAGACAATAATTATACCTAAGCCTGATGCTCCATACATTACTTTGGAAATCTTAAGTCGAGAACGCAATAAGAGTAAAGGAACTCACATAATCAGTTTTGCGTAAAAATAACAAATCAAATTGGGGAGAGGTCATGATTCGGATGTAAGGATTACAGATATTTCAGTATCTAGATGTCACGCTTTGATCAAATTTCTTAATTGTAAATGCTCTGTTAGTAATTCTAGCTGGATTTGTGATTGAAGATTAATAATCTAAATTCGGAACTTTAGTCTTATTGAAGAATCCTGCTTAGATGTCTGTTGACAATAATAATAACATGGCTATCTAGGTAGGAAGAAGTGTAGTTAGTTTTTAAGTTTCAAAGGATTGGAATGTATAATCGCATTGTATATAACTTAGATAATCTCATCCATCAATAAGGGAGGGGTGTAAGAGGATTAAATGTTACAAGATGACACAGATTTAATTGGAAATGCAGTGGGTGATGAGGATCAAGCATAGATTGAATAAGAATTACAAAACTTTGAAGAACATACACCATGATTTTGTTAGATAATGTTTTAACTTTGTTTTTGCTATAATAATATTGGTTCAAGGGTAGTTCTAATCTTATTTGTGCTTTTATGAATTTTTTCGTTGATGTTCCTATTCTTTTTCAACTTCTTGTTCTAAATGCATTTCCATAAATTCGATTATTCCCTCTGCATTTCTGTCTCCATGATAATGATATATTCTATCATGATAGAAAATTCTAAGAGTTGGATAACCTCTGACCTAGAATTCATCGCAAAGAACCGATTCATGAGTGCAATCTACTTTTCCTAATGTGATTATGCTTTATTTTTGTTTGAATTCAGTTGCAGCTTTTTCAAATTCTGGCATTAAATTTTAACTACTTATAAAGGTTTCATTACCAATGTGGACACCAAGGTGCATAGAAATCTACTAATAAAACTTCAAATCTCATTAAAGCAGCATCAAAATTGTCAACATCCAATATAACAACATTTGATTCTCTCTTAAACATCACTTAATGATTAAAATGGGTTTTTTTTAGTTTACCTGTTGCCAAAATTAGATTAACCAAAAGTACTAAAATCATATAAAACGAATTAATTTGATAAAATAAATAATTATTCCTACTAAAAACATTTTCAAATTTATTGGCAGAATCTATTAATCGATTGAGATCTATCTATTTCAATGTTCTTAGCTTTTATCTAACATTCCTATGCTTATTATTTAACCTTATTCAAATATAAGCTAAAACCGAAATAATTATAATCTTATAGCTTTCTTTACTTTTATAACTAGAAATTAGGAACAAACTAAAATAGTGAGTTTGCAATTAAAAATTCTTATGTTAGAGACTGAGTACTTTCTTAATAATCAGAGTATATTAAATTAAGAATAATAAATGTTTAGATTAATGCTAATTAGATTGGGCTTCATCAATTATAATGAATTATGCCAATAATGAAAGTGAACAAGTCAATTATTCTAGATAATAAAAACCTTTAATAAAGACATTAAAAAAAAGGAGATCCAAAACATAATTAGTTATTTTTATTTTCAAAATGAGAGATTGAGATAATATTCTAATACTATAAATTAAATAAAGAAAAACCTCTTTGAAAAAATGGTATTATTTATGAATATTCCAACAATAGGGACTCTATGCATATAAGAAGACAATAGTGTAAAGAAATGTTGTTAGAAAAGTACATCAACAAATCTTTATCAAAATAATTTGACAATTCTATTTTCAATTACCTATAAAATTTTTGGCAAAAAGAACAGATTCCAATTTTAATTCTCCTGTCTTAGGAAGACTTTAATCTACTAGAACAGCCATATATTCAGCAGACTGACCAAATAAATCAATAGAGCCAAAGACAAAACTCGAACATTAGTTGTTGTAAGCACTGTCACAGATGAGTATTTATTCTGTTTCTAGCAATTTAATAGCATTTGACTTCTTGATGTTACTAAGCTAGATGCTTTTATTTTAGAAAGAGACTTCTTGCAGCTGATGGAAAAGTTTTTCCTTAGATCAATAGGCATAACAAAATCCAACAGGTGAGCTGAATTGAGATAAATTTTAGGATCAGGAACTATTTATTAAGAGGCCCATGAGTTAGAGAAGCATTAAAACACTTTAGAAGAGCTGCTGGTTTACCTGGATCTCATGCGAAACCATATATAAGTCATACAGCCAAGATGATTAGAGGTTCTAAGTGATTACTATTTGTACATTATTGGATTACATTAACATGTTATAATTATATTTATTTTTAATCAAAAAATTATTTAATTTTGATGACAGATAAAAGAATAGACAAATATATTTTTAATGTGAAAGATAGAATTGGATAGGGATCTTATGCTGAAGTTTTTAAAGGAACGAATGAAAAAACTGGAGAAAAGGTAGCTATCAAAATGTTAAGCAAATCTGTAATCAATGCGTAATTTTATGATTTATAAAATTAGAGATGATTATCTCAGGGAGGGATTGATTTAAGAAATTAAAATAATGCAGAAATTAAAAAGTCCCAATATTGTCTAGTTGTTAGATGTCATGGAAACCAACAATAATTATTATATTGTTTAAGAATACTGTGATGGAGGAGATTTCGATGAGTAAATTATCCTATTGTAATTTTAGACTTCTCAAAAAAAGAAAGTTACTCCCAGAAAAAGAAGCAATCAAATTCCTAGTTGATGTACTTAATGGATTTACTCAACTTATAAAAAATGGTATAATTCATAGAGATCTCAAACCAGCAAATATTTTGATCGACAAATAGGTATGCTCAATAATTATCGAAGACTTACAAACTAGCAGATTTTGGATTTGCAAAATGTGTTGACAATTTTAAAAAAACAATGATGGCTTCAATGGTTGGTACTCCATTATACATGAGTCCTCAGATCTTGGATCACAAGAGATACAATTCAAAAACTGATGTATGGAGTATAGGTTTTATTTTCTATGAGGCATTATTTGGCAAAAGTAATCCTAAATCTTAATCTTATCATAGCTCCATGGACAGCTAGATCTCCAGCAGAATTGCTCAAAAATATCAGGACCTAACCCTTGAAATTTCCCACCGATAAGAATTAAGTCTCATAGGAAACCCAAGATTTGATCATTGGTTGTCTCCAGGCTGACGAGAATAAAAGATTATCTTGGGAAGAAATATACAAACATCCAGCCATTAGTCAATATTTTTCGGTAATTAATAACCTTTCCTCTTTTTAGGATTTTATCAAGGGAAATAATAAGTTGGAAGACAAGGCTCAATATTTAATTAATGATATCAGACAGATGATATGCAAAGAGAAAATTGACATTCATAAATTATTTGCAGATTTAGACATGTCAAAAGATAAGGCCTTGGATGTAAATGAATTGGGGAAATTTCTATAAAAAGTAGATAAAGATATCACACGAGAAGAAATTGAATATATATTTAATAAATTTGATGATGATGGGAATAATTAGATTGAGTTCGAGGAATTTAAAAAGTGGTTAGAAGACAATTAAGTAATTGATTGATACTATGAATGAATAGATTGTTACTAATGCTAATCCATAATAATAATAAAGAGGAGGCGGATCACATAAAAAACTGTCTATTCTGCCTCATTAATTAAAGTCTCAGAGTTCCATTGAAGAGAGAGCGAATTATGTTATAGAGAAATTAAAACTATCAATCTAAAAATATAAAATCAATTTGTTGGATCTATTCAAAAAAGTGAAAATTTATTTGATTCATTTAGTTTGACAAATCAGCTGATCAAAGATTAGATAAAAGTGAAATGGGACAATTGTTAAAGAGAATTGAACCAAATATTTCTTAGGAAGAAATACAAGCATGCTTTGAATTTTTTGATGCTAACGGTGATGGCGAAATCACATTCTAAGAATTTTAAACAAGTTTAAGTGAAGAAGTCGGGAAGAAGAGATAAAGTATAGACCACCATGAATGAAATATTTGCATTATCATATAGTAATTATTAAAATTAAATGAGTTTTGATTAATTATTGTTATCCAGACCACTTTATAGTCCAAATCACAAACACCCTACGTTTACTGTCCATTCACATAATCCAACGCCTTTCAGTATTACTACCTAAGTCTCTCCAATTGAGTCTCCAAGAATAGGAGATATTTCAACTATCCCTAAGACTTCCGAGAGAGGATAGTTGTATGAGAAATTAAAGGCCAATCTCAAAAATGATGATCCAACAAAGTCAAATTAAAACGGTATTAAAGGTTAAAAGGTTAGGGAAGCCTATAATTTGCTATCTGATTTCAATGATAAAAAATAGATAATTTAATCTCTAAAGTCATTAGCATCTGCAGAAGAACGGTAACTTAAAAAGACTTTAATTTAGAATATTGCTTATTGATAAAATTTTAGAGAGAAAAGAAGAGATGCAAATAGCAGCTCTCAAATTAAAGGCTAAAAGGTTGGAGCCAATTTTTAATGTTATCAGGAGGAAATTGAAACTGAAACAAAGATTAAATTAATCTGCTGATAAAATGAAGAAACAATCAATTATTGGATTGAAATCCACAGATCAACCCAATGAAGTACTTAATCCAATGCATTCTTATGGAAATCTAGATGAATAATAATAACAGGACGAAAATACTAGAAAAGAATTAGTAATTGAGAAAATATAAACTAAATATGCTGCATCAGTTGCTTTCTCTTGGTTAACAAATAGAGCTGAAAAACAAGGTATTAATAATAATTTTAATGAAATTTGAGAATCTTTAACCCATAATTTATCTCCAGAAACTGTTAAGAGAAATAATAGAAGAAATACTACTTTAAAGTAAAGTCACAAAGGAATAACAGGTCTAAAATAGATGATTACTAAAAAAGTGAGTGAAAATTCTGATGAAATGATTAGATTGGGACAACTAAAAATGTTAGAAAATCAGCAAAAATTTTATAAATCCAAAGATATAATAGCAAAATCTAAGGCTAAAGTAGACACAGGTAGAGTAAAGAGTGTATAAGTTAATAGATCTTTAAGAAAAAAATAGACCTTGGATTTCTTTACAAATGAAAGAAAAGAAAATTCAGAGCTAACTTAATAAATAGCAAATGAAAAAAGTAATCTCATGTTTAAGAGAAGGTTAATTGTTAAAGATTGACTTTCATTATTTTATATTCTACTTACTTTAGATTGACTTTCTCTTTCTATACGGTTTTTTCAATTTCCTGAAATTCAAACTCTCTTATAGATAGTTTTGGTAGCAATTAGATTCTTTCGTTTTAAATCTTTTAAATTCTAAATACGTACAGTAATCATTGATTTGGGAGTCAATTTTATATTTCTTTAAAAAGATGTTAATCTGCTATCAACAGTCAAGGCTATTATATTTTTGCAGAAATTCTACCTACAGACTTAGTATTAGTAAATTATTAAATGAGTAGTTTTTCTTTGAGCATCTTAATAAACCTCTAACAGGAAGAATTAGCATTCGTTTTTAGGATATGTTCATTTTAGTGCTAAATCAATTGATTTGATCTATTTGATAGAAAAATAATTAATATTTATCCAAAATAAAAATTTATATTTCATTTCATTAAGCTTCGGAATCTCCATCGTTATCTTTAGAATCAATAACCCCTGATATTTATCTCTCTACTAACTATCTATAAATCCCATCAGGATTATTAAGCAGCTCTTAATGCGTTCCTTGCTCTGCCACAACGCCGTTTTATAATACAATAATCCTATTGCAATTAACAATCGTACTCAATCTGTGAGCGATTACTAAAACAGTTATGTTTTTGCTTCCCTTTTAGATTAATTCATCAATGGCAGATTAAACTTGAAATTCGCTTTCAGCATCTAGTGCAGAAGTTGCTTCATCAAAGATTAAAATTTTAGGTCTTTTTAATAAGGCTCTGGCAATTACAATTCTTTATTTCTATCCTCCACTTAAAGTATACCCATGTTCACCAACGAAAGTATCAAATCCATGGGGAAATTTGAATTTATCTGAAACAAATTACCAAACCCCTGCTGCCTTAGTGGCCCATTCAAAGTCATCCTTTGTATAATTTTCGGTTCCATATACGATATTAGTTTCAATAGTTCCTTCAAATAAAACAGGATCTTGGGAAACTAATCCAATTGACTTTCTTAATGCTTTGAGTTTGAATTATTTGATGTTCATGTCATCAAAATAAATTGAGCCTGATTATGGGTCATAAAATCTTTCCAATAAATGCATGATCGTTGATTTGCCACTGCCACTAGGTCCCACAAATGCAACATATTCTCCTTTAGTAATTTTAAGCGAGATTCCTTTTAAGACTTAAACTTAAGAGTTTGGATACGAGAAGACAACCTTCTTAAATTAAATTTCTCCCGTTGGAGTTATATGATCTATTGCATCTGGTGCTTCCTTAACAAGAGACTCCCATTTAAGCATATCGAGTACTCCTTCAAATGCTCCAGTGGCACTTACTATTTTGGCAAAAGATTCGCTTATGTCTGAACTAGATGAAGACAATTGTAGAGAGTATAAGATTATGGTTGTCAAATCACTAAAGATAATTATATAATGTGATACCCAGCCGATAATTCTGCTGAACTATTCATTGCCAGCTTACCGCCATACCATAAAACAATCAAGGATCCCAATTAAGTAAATAAAGCAGATGATGCTTAATAACATCCAGTATTTACTCCTCGTTTTTGAGCCAATTTAATATTTAAATCTAATTGTTTGTGAAATTTCTTAATTTCAAATTCTTCTGTACAAAAACTCTTTACTGTTACAACTCCCGAGACGATCTCATCTGCCAAAGTGGTTAGTTTAGCTTGATATTCTTGACCTAATTTTTCAAACTTTTTTGCCATTTTTGTATGGATGGTTCCCAGAACAATAAAAATTGGCATAGGGGCTAAAATTGCTAAAGTCACTTTCCAAGACAATGCAAATAAGATTATGATATTGAAGATAGTCAAACAACAATTCCTTATTAGCAAAATAATATTTCCACTGACAGCGGATTTAGCTGATTGCAAATCATTTGTCATTCTTGATATTATTTCACCATTTCTGTAAGTGTGAAAGAAAGTTAAATCAAAGGATAAGAAGGACTTTAGTACATCTTCTCTCATATCATTATAAATCATTTCTTACCAAATTTGATTTATGAATGCTCTGACTAAAGATAAAATTGTATAAGCTATCAAAACATATAAAAACTATTTTGATAGTGTTGAATGCAATTCTTCATCAATAACAACATTCTGAGAGCCCTTATTATTATTCTCAGGATTTGAGCCTGATTGTTGGGCTTATTCCACATTTTTAGTGATTTCATCAATCAATCTTCCAAGTATCCATGGTAATAACATTTGCGCTACAGCAGATAATACTATCAATACATTCACTAGTATAGTTAATTTTAAATGTTATAAGGGATAGTGTAATAAGAATTTATAAGTATTCCAATTGAATGGCAATGCTTAATGTTTCACTTTTTTCTTTTTTAATTTGTTTTTCTTTGTTTTACTTTTCTTTTTCCCTGTTGGTATGCTCAATGGTGATAATTCAAACTATGGCGAACCATTCAATCCATCAATATTCTCTTATGTAGGTACTTCATCTAAAATATCGCTATTCCTATTCTCTTAATTTTGGTACACTTGAATTTCTAAGCTCAAAGAAATAATCTTACACTTATTTTCTTCCTTATTAACAATTAGTGTTGGCGTTGGTAATCTTTCTTCTTCGTCCTCACTGCCTGATAAAAATACTTTCTTCCTTTATATCTTATTCATTTCAATCTGATGACCATCCTCCTCTTTCATTGAAACATAATAATCATTCTAGTTTCCTTTGAACAATTTACTCATTTTGTTTGCTGCATTCTCTTCTTAAACTTTATCTAATAATTTATTTTACATTTTTAACATAAAAAAATTATTCAAGGATTCCATTCTGTTTTCGATCGACTTAATACTTATAGTAATATTCATTCTTCCTCAACAATCCAAAGCCATAACCTTATTATGAGGATTATTTTGAAATTATTCATTATTGCAAAACCAACATTAGATATACTTGAATTTTTAAGTAATTCACTAATTTAAATCTACCACAATTACTTTGATATATTTTGACCTTAAGTTGGTAATATTATTATTGTATGTCGTATATGAACTTATTTATACTTATTTGGAATGATATAAAATTAACTTATATTCAATCAAGTATTAATATTTTTAATATTAAATATTTGTTCAAATGTCTGAAGAACAAGAAATCGATTGGGGAGTCGGAGCTTAAGCATTATACTACATGACAAGAGCAACCAAAGATTGCAGTAAAAGATGTGGAGCATTAAAAGTGAATAGAGATTTTAATGAGTCTGAAACAGAATGTTTAAGTATTCTAATCAAAATTAATAATATCTATAGAAAAATGTGCTGTGTACCATGCCGGAGCATCAAGTACTCATATGAGATTTTTAATCAACTATGCTGAGACAGTGCATCTGCAATGACAGTATTTTCATATAAATAATCATATAACAATAACATAATCATAAGATATTTATTTAATCATTCAGATCGCCCATAAATTGTACACACTAGCTAAATTTAATCTTAAAATATCTTACTTCAAATCCCCTGTTTGCTACAATTTCCAATCGTGATAAATAAATTAATTCAATTTGCAATCTCAACAATGTAAGCGTGATTCTGATACTCTGAGTGCGTTGTCAATCCTAATAATCATTTAATTATTAGGTTTTTTGTACTTTGCTGTAATAAAGGTAATCTAACTCTTAGCTTGTTAACAAATATAAAGAGCCATGCGTTTACAAGTTTTCTCAATCATATAAATTTGTACAATTATAGATTGTATATTTTTAGAACATTTTAAAACTGAGGCAAATACTTTATAGCCTTCTATTTTACCTACGACAATGTATTAAGTAAACTGTAATCAGATTAAAATTACTAGCTTTGTTAACTGAACACAATTAATTCCATTTTGTAATAAAACTATCCAATTAGAAATCCTGATGATCTATATGATCAAAGAGATATCTTAATAAAGGGTGCTCTATTTATAAATTTAAGTCCTCAGTTAATATAAAAAAACATCTACTAACTATTAATTCTTGATGGTCTGATAATGCGATTTAATTTTAATTCCTCTTTTTTTATGCTAAACATTTAAAATAATTCCTTGAATATTATACATACACGGTTTAATATATTTGATTGCTTCTCTACATATTACAATTTGATTTATAGGGAATCAATGTTTGTTTATATGGTATTATAGTGTATATAATTTTAATAAAATAAAATTATTAAAAATGAGTAGAATATTTTATTCTCAAATTATATTCAAAGGTATCCAATTTATTTCATTACGATCTTAACAAAATGAATTAAGATATCGTATCTCATTTTTGGTGTTTTCAATTTAGGCAATGGCAAGTAGGTTGTAACTTGTTCATACATTTTTCTAGTTTTTCTGAATTTCTCCAATCTACAAATTTTTTTAGAATCTGCTTCCTAATCTCTGTTGATATTCAAAGGAGGCCTACTACTAAAGATTTCTTCACTTATTGTAGCCAATGGCTTAACACCAATTTTCCCTCTTATTTTATAATTATCAGTTTCTATTTAATAAATATGAGGGGGTAAGTAAGTACTTTCACCTATTCCTCCGAAACATAGAATGTTGCTACCATAGATACAGCTTGAATGACTCCACCTTTTAGTTTACAATCCTTATCTTTAAGCGATAATCCAAGAGCTGTTTTTAAGATTGAATATAAAAATTTCATTTTGATATTCTGTTTTTTCTTGAGATCTGCCACCTATCAAAATTAAATAATCACCCACATTTTCCATAGTGTGATTATATCTGCCCTCTGGAGCTTAGCCAGAATACTGTACCTTTTCCCAACCAATTGGATGAAGTCCATAAAATAACATCTTCATTAATGGAAATGAATTCAATTTGGCGGTTTATCCACCAAAAATATAAACAGTTTCAATATTTTTTTTACTATCATACGCTGTACATTGAGCATGCTACGCAATCCCTTCTTCAAATAACAATTTTTAACCGGTCCATCTTTTAGAATCCAAGGAATAAAATAATGTATCGTTTAGTAATTTCTCTGCTGCGTCTAATCCACCAGTAATCACCATTAGTTTTCCAAAGAGGACTGATGCTTTGTGTTCTCTCCTAGGTTCTACTGATTCTAATGAAGTTGTCCATTAGTTATTGATTGTATTGAATAATCCAATAGTAGAATAAACTTACCTTATTTTCATTTTATGATCATAATAACCAGATCCACCAAAGAAAACCAAAAATTACTTCCAGATAACCATCGAATGACTGGTAATAAATAGTTAAACATTTGAACAATAATTGCTCCACTCTTGCTTTTCTATTTAATATATATATAAATATATACTTAAATCGAACCACCAAACTTCATTTGTTATCCCTCCTCCACTCATTCCTCCAAATACATAAAGTCTATCTCTGATTACTCCTATTTGTGCAGATTCCCTTCTCCTTGGTACTGCGTATGAATATGATGTTAAAGTCTCTTCAAAAAATGAAACAGCTGGTTATTCTTCTTCTATTTTTTCTTCCGTGGCTTTTCTTTTTTATTAGAATACTCTTTAAATTGTTGGGAATGTTTGTTTTTCTGTTGATTTTGCTATTCCCAGTTATTTTTCTAATTATTTTAAGCTCTATGGTTCTTAATGTGGAACTTTACGTTACAGCGATTTAAATTTCTTTTCACTTAAACTAATATCTCTATAGGTTTCAGACATTTTATTTCTTTGTAACTAAAGAAAGCTTTGCTAAATAAACTTTTATTGGGATTTGTTTGCTATCAATTCAACAAATTCTCCTGCTTAACTGTTACGTAGATAATGGAAATGAGATGAAATATCTTCTAAAGTACTGTTTTCTATGCTTGGAAGAGCTAACAACATTCTATAGACCATAAATACTTAATTTCCCTGTGTGTTCGGATTCCATTTTCAATTTCCTTTTTTTCTCCTGAACTTATGATGTATTGTTTTGATGTCTAATGGCAAGTTGCATAGATTCATCTTTTATACTCTTCAACAAATCTTTATACTTGTCTCTTTCTAAATTTAAATTAGCTGCACTCATTCAATGATTATAGACAAATTAAATAATGTTTTAAAAGGAAACCTAACTTATTTTCTTAAGGTAATTTCAAGAAAAAATGATATATAATAATTAATAAAAAAAGATTAACAAAGAAAAAGATATCATTATCTTTGAGTTTTCATTTATCGTCAGAAGATTCAGTGTCAAGATGATCTAAATCTTTTTAACTTTTCAATTTAAATTCATCAAATCTAATAATTAATCCTTTTGTCCACATCTTATCAATCTGATCCAATCTCCTATTGATTTGATGATACTTCAATACAAATTTTTCCATTTCTTCAGTAGTATGATCTTCTATTACTAAATCTTTTATCCATTTGGGATAGAATCTATTAATCCTCTGCGGAGATGATGCTACTGTACTTTTTTGATAATTTTACACAATGCTCTTTAAAGTTGGATATACCTTCACTGACCTTTTATTGTGCATTAAAATAATTTATTTAATTTAAATATCGCTTAGTCGCCAATTAAATTTATTGTATTAATGATGACAATCTATTCTTTTGCGAATAGAACTTCGATGAACCGATTAACTGTGAACTGATGAGGATTTCCTAAAGTAAATTTAGAACTTATCTGATAAGCAACGCAATGGAAATACTCTCTTAATTAAATTGTAATTGTCTAAGTCTTTCCAATCCTCTGGGGGTGTTCTGATTAATTATTGATTAAACTGAATAATTCGAAACACAACAGATTTAAACCTTACCAGCAATTGTTCGTATTAATGTCTCTTTTTATCAATCAATTGTTGAAGAACCAATTGATTATATTCATTAATATTTTTTAGCTCTTTGACTTCTATTCGCTTTTTCACTTCTTATCTAGTTTATTGTAATTAAATATGACTGAATTGGATTAAAACCGATCTTCGAACCTTTTTTCTTTAAGCTAACTAATATGGTTTATTTAGATTTACATCTCTCAACTCTAAGGCTATTTATCAACAACTTTCTTCTTCTATGAAATAGTTGCTTAACTTCAAAATATAAGTTTGGACTCATCTTCATAGATTTCTCGAATATAGCATAATCCACTTTTAAAATCAAAGACTTTTATAGTGCTACAGCATATGTTGCTCTCAAGGTTTCCTCGATAGCCTCGTATTCTCCAAACATAGTTCCCTCTAAAATATTTAATAAAGTGAATTTCTTTTTAGTCATAATCCTTACGTCACCCTACAATAAAAAATATATCTCATTAGAATTCTAGCCTTCTCTATATATTAGATCATTTTCTTCAATAAACAAGAATTGAACGTCATTTAATAATTCAATCGTAAAATTAATATCCTACATAAAAAAAGGCACTGCCTCACAAATTTACAGCATCCCACTTAAAACCAGGTAATTCTATATTTAATATGGTAAATCGCTAACCATCTTTTTATGATAACTAGACCAGAAAGCATTGTTGTTTAGGTTAGTTGTGATAAACCTTTGAAACTAGTTTTTTATCCTTTCTGGAAAGTCAGATATATAAGACAATTGCTCGAGCTAGAAATAATATTCGTCATCCTGATTCACCCCAGACCTTTACATCATATAAGCAAAATCTCCTATTGTAAAAGTGTAAAACCCTACTCCAATAATTAACCACAAGATTTAATATTCATACTTAATAGACTGAGAGCAATCACCATATCCAATTGTTGTTATTGTTTGGGTTGATTGATAGAAGGCATCTAAATATTCTATTCCTAATAAGTAATGATATCCACAAGCAAATATGTGAATCAACAGAAATGCTGTTACCATTACATCTATTAGGAATTTAATCCCTTCCTTCAATTACATATCATTATATGGTAAAAATGAAGGTACTATTTTGTGCTAGTCTGCTTATCCCCTGTAGCTATGCTTTCTTTTAAATATAAAAAATTTTAATATTCTAAACAGTCTAAAAAGCCTCAAATTATCCAATCCTATGAAAATCCAAGGAAAAATTGACATAGAATCAAAAATAAACCATGTTTTCAAATAATGCATTGTTATATCAACAATTTATATTTTTAAAGTAGATGTTTCATCTATGTAAGCTGTCAAAAACGTTAATAATATGTCAATGGAGAAAAGAGCATCTAAAATCATCACAATCCAATATAAATCACTTTCTAAATCATGGAATGTTATGAATATTGGGTAAATTATACAAGAGCAAAATTGCAGTAAAGTCACGACTTTCATCCAATAAACTATTAGACAATCATCAGGATAAAATGGTATCACTTTCGTACGTTTTTAAAAATAAAACTCTATTCTTTATTATAACCTCTCTTTTCGATATTACTCCAAAGAATCAAAAAAACATTGTATGATGATCAGTTTTTTCACAATTCTAGTAAATACACTTCTAGTGTCTCTTGTTATAGTTGTTTTATCTTCGTAAGTATTAAAAGTCCTATCAATTACTTAAGTATAATACCCAAATATAGAGACAGTAGCTTAAGTTTTTAATTTTCTGTTCTAGGAACCATGAAACATGTATTAAGAGGAAGACCTGTTTCTTTGGGGTGGAATTTCAACAGAACAGGCTCCCTATGTAATTAGTTGTTCAGGATCTTCACGATCGCTTGTAAGCTACATTAATTGTCTGAATTTTATTTATATCCAATTCTTAATTATAATCCAATTATTGCAAAAAATAAAAGTCAATAATGTTGATTCCAACCTTTATTGTAAACATATAGATAATTTCAAATTACACCAATTTAAAAGAGAAGATAGAGGGAATAATTATACTTGTTCATGAACTCATAATCGACTATGAGTTTAATATAAAACTAAACAAATTTTGCTAAAGATATATCTATTAGTTATATAAAGGCTTTATTAAAATTATCCGAAAAACCAACGTTTAAGATTATCATCATATATTTTGTATTGGAATTCTTGTCCTTTAACTTTTTAATATGCGATTAATTTATTAAAAAATAATCATTGTCAAATAGTCCTCTCCTTATTTATTAAATTCTTGATAATATTAGCTTTACATTTAAGTTACTTGGACTAAAGACATCTAAATTCAATCCAGTTATTCATAATTTTTTTTGATTTCCTCATTTATTTAAAGATTTAGTGATTATATAAAACCTTTATTTTTATCTTTCATCCAATTGACAGGTTTGATTAACATATATGAAATTCTCAACATTGAAAACAACGTATCAATATCTTCCAATCTTATAAGAACGTTAGAGAAGAAGTTTTTGTTAGAAAAATTACGAATGTAATGATTGATTAATATATATAAGTACCATTCCTAGCTCCAAATAGAAGAGATCTAAGAATGTTATATGAACATCAGATATGATCGTTGAAATTATTAATCCTGTTATAAAGCATAAATTTTTGCTTCTAAGAATTTATTATTTTTATTATTGTATAACAATGTCAAAATAATACTATAATAATATGTGGCAAGAGACAATAAATGATATTCAAGACTTGATTTAGGTGGAAAATTTCTAAAACGAGCCAGACTTTTTAAAAAAGCCACCTCAGGATCTTTTTTAGCATTATGCCCAAAATTACATTCGTTACATTGGGATTTATAAAAAGTTTTAAATAAAAAATAATTATTATTAGATTAGAGGATTGTTATGATTAGATGGTGCATCCATAGAAAAAAATAAATTTGAAGGAATTGCTAGAATTAGCAATTATTAGAATGATTGAAAATAAAAAATTAGTCATCTAATATAATGTGCACTCAAACAGTTATCAATCAGACATGGTGAATTTAGATGAATTAATTACTGACTTAAAACTTACTCCAGATTATTTGGAAGTGCCTATTCCAAGATATTTTAAAAAGGAAACAGACAAAGAAAGATTGGATGAAAGGAACTTCATTATTGATAAAACTTTATAGGACATGGATTTGGGTTAGCCAGAAGAGACAGTTATAGAAGAATAATACTTTTTAGATACAAAGGAAGAAAACATTTTAGAAATAATTTAGAGAAATGAAAGAGGAAGATAAGGTATTCAGAGAGGATTATAATGCAAATAATTAAGAAAAGAGAGATTAAGAAAAGAGAATAAAACCAAAAGATTAGCTGAAGGAGAGGAGATTACTGATGAATAAGAAAATGAGAAAGCAGTTTTGATTATCCAAAAATATTTCAAAGGATACAAAGGAAGAGAACAGGTTTATTTTATGAGGGAAGAAGAGATGAAATTCTTGGGAATTCAGAGAGATGCAGAGGATCCAAAATAACAGAACTCCTAATTTATGAAAGCATAAGAATAAAGATAAAAGTAGAATATAATAATATTATTCTTAGAATGACATTGATATAACAATAACATATGAAAGATTATGAAGCTAAAAAAATTGAACTCAAAAAGTTGGTTTAGGAAACAGAAGGTCCAGAAATTAAAGAGAAGAAAATCAAAGAAAGAATTGATTGGATTGATATGTATTTAGATAAAACAGAAGGAAGTAAGAATAGAATAATATTAAGAAAAACTACCTGCTAAAGCTATTGATTATTATGATGATAAAAAAAGATACCCCCCAACTTAAGAAGAATTAGATGCTTTGAAGGGAGGAAAGAAAGGTGCTAAGAAGGAAAATAAACCTGAAAAGAAAGGTAAAAAAGGGAAAAAGGACAAGAAAGAAGAAAAGAAAGACACTATAGATTTAACTACAGTGATAAAAATAAATGAGAGAGTTGAGGAATATTTGACAACTTGGGGATCAACAGATGATTCAACCAATTTTCAATAAACATTTGTAACTGATGTTGCAAAAGGTTTAGTTAGATCATCTGTAGAAACTGAAATGAATAGTTTAGTTGATGAATTAATTGAAATTGAATTAGATAATAGACATTTGTTCTTATTAAAGAAACCTAGAAAGAGACCACCCAAGCCTAAGGCACCAAAACCTCCTAAACCCAAGAATTTCAAAGTGCCTGGAGCAGGTGGTGTTAAAGGAAGAGATGTCTTTGATTTATTGAGTGAATTGTTAGAATATGGAATTGTAAAAAAATTAATGCCTGCCAACTTGGCTGATCTAAAAGGTGGTCAAAATGTATTGGGAGCAACATAAGAATAATAGTTTGCAACTACACCTGATCCTTCTTACCCTTAATTAAGATCGGCATTAGCTGAATTTGTTGGTATGTAATTGGGGTCCCCAATTTTGAAAGAAAAATTAGATAAAATGTCTTACTTCTTATTCTTTGGGCCTTCAGGCTCTGGAAAAACTTTAGCAATTAGAGCTTTGGCAACTGAGTGCAATGCAATGTTACTCGATATAACACCTAGTTCCCCTGAAGTGTAATAAAAATTTTCTGATAAATCTTCAATTGGAAAAACATTTTATACTGTATTTTATGTAGCTAAGGTTTTACATCCTACGATTATCTTTATGGATAACATAGAATAAGTTTTTGGATCTGCAAAAAAGAAAAAAGGTGTTCCTGCTGCTCCTTGGGCAAAATTAAAAAAGCCACTCTAAGATTTTAAAAAGGCTAAGTTTATTGAACCAACCACAAGAGTAGTTTTTATAGGTTCCACTAATTAACCAGAATTAATGATTATGAAGGATACGAAAAACTTCTTTGAAAAAAAGTTCTTTTTCCCAATGTTAAATTATGATACTAGATTGACATTACTAAAATACTTTATTGAAGAAAAAGGAGTAAAATTGGAACCGAATTTCCCTTTAAGCACTTTGGCTCATCTGACAGAAGGATACACAGCAGGATCCTTCAAAAATGCTCTTGATAAAATAATAACACCAGAAAGAATAAAAAAAATTCCTGATGAGCCGATCACTATTGATGAATTTGTGGCTAGACTTGCTAGATAACCATACGTAAAGTCTTAGGCTGAATATGATAAATTAAGAGTATTCTTTATTAAATATTGTAGACCTTCTTTGATGAGGTAACAGGAACAAAAGACAGAAGAGAGAAATCTAAGGCTGTTGCTGTAGACCCGAAAAAGGGTGGGAAGAAAAAATGATATATAATCATTAAATCAAATATATAATAAATATTAATATTAAATGGCGTGTTGTTCATGTTCCTAATCGCTGATTTTCACAATTGTCTTGATCACATTATTGTTTTCTGCTGTCACCATTGACGGTGTTAGATTTGCTTGGTTAACGATTTCATTTATGTTCGGAATAGTGCTAATGATAGGTATGATATCATCCTCTATCTTATTTAATAGATTACATGTTTTCAAACGAAAAAGGATTCATGTATGACCCAGATTATAAAACTTGGAGATAAAAAACTCAAACAGATGCATGATTATTCTATATTTTACATACATTAATAGCACAATTCATTATTTTACTCTATATTTTAATTATTATATTCATACTTATTTGTGTTGATTATTTCAATGATATAATTGATATTATAAAGCAATTGATCATTGAATATTGTCATATCACACCATTTAGAGAACAAATATGCAAATTACTTGGATGCAGAATGAAATCAATCACATTTGTTACTCTTAGAATGTATTGCAGGGAAAAAATCAAGACTTTTGATAATTGGAATAGAACAGGTAAATTCACATCTTGATTATTCAATCTACATTAATAATTTTAATATTTATATTAAATGAAAGGTGAAGTTGTCAATTTGGATCCAGAAACTAATCCTAAATTGAAGGAAATCTTGGATTTGCTTCTTTTAGCAGGCTATTTTAGAATTCGTATTCCCTCAATTAAGCCATTTGATAAGGTATTACTCATAAATCAACATGTAGATTTTGGGAGGTCTCAGTTGGTGTATTACATAATCTAACTTTGCTATTGATATTTAATATAATGATGACTATAATATAGGACAGAAGATCAAGGTTTCAGAATAAATTGTCAAATCTCTAATAGAGATGTAATCCCCATATAATCTTTAACCACATTAAATTTAAGGTCTAGATTTGAATGCCATATACCCTGTAATTAAATGGCTCATCAAATTTGTCTTAGAAACAAGAGAATTTAGATAAGATTAAAATTATAGAGTAAGTAAATTGGTTGGTAAAAATGCAAATTAAGCTTTATATTAATAAGATTAAGAAGAAAAGAAGGCAATCTAAGAAATTGTATCATAATTAGATTTATTATAAGATAATAGATAAACTAAGAATTTGAAAAAATTATCAAAAAAAGACCCTTTACGTGTTTATTCTACATTAATTGAATATGGAGATTTATCAAGTCAAAGAACATATAACAAATTTTGTGCTTTGATTTCAGGAATTTAGAAATAAAAATAAGGAAATCAGTAGAATGTAAGCGCTGTTAATAGCAAAACTCAATAAAATCCAACCTTAGCGTTCCAATAAAATTTATTTCTTGATGAAGTACCTGAGAAAAAATAAACTAATTAAAACTAACAAGTAACTTTAGAACAGTTAACTAACCTATAAAAAGAGAAAATGTAGTAAGCCCAAGCATAAATAAAGGAAATGTCTCAAATAGCTGGTCCATCGGCAGAAGCAACTTTGAATGAAGAAGAAGGAAGGAAGTTTCAGAAATTATAAAGAAGAAATTCTATTGCTGGATAATCATTATCTTAGTTGATTTCAAAAGAAAAAATTGCTGAGGGATTGAAATAATAAACCTAAGAAGAAGATCAAGAAGTAGTAAATACTGTAAACATAAAGTTATAAGAGAAAATTATTCTCGAATAATAATTTAAATTATAACAATAAAATCTTAACAATTTAGAGAAAGCTATAGAATAGGATATGTAGGAAGTAGAGTAGTTGGAATCATAAAACAACTAATTATAAGAATAAATAAATGAAGAAAAATCACGTCTTACTAAGATTGTAGATGCGCTAAAAGTAATTGAATCAAAGACGAAAAAAGCAAACCAAGCAGATATTAAAAGGGCTGAAGAATAGGTTGCAAAAAAAATTGAATTGAAAGAATAAAAAACAGAATTAAAAAAGGAGATTAAATAAGAATAACAAAAAATAGAGAGAGAAAAAGAAGAAGCTTTAAAGAACATGCCGCAAGAAAATGATTAAGAATTATTAAAAGAGATGAAATCATAATATAACTAAAAAAAGGAAAAATTTGAAAAGAAGTTCCAACAATTTCAACTTCTAAATTAGGAGATAGTTGTCCTCGAAAGAAAGTTAGAATCTTTTCCCTAGCCTTCTGAAATTGCCCAATATCATCAAAGATTTTTAGAATTATACGATTCGATCAATGAAGAGATGGAATCAAATAAAAAATTATTATTGAAGTATAATAATTTACTAGAAGTGAAATAACTGGCAGCTTAATTTGTGGATATTTATAGAACATTTAAGGAGAATTATACCAATAATTTAAAGGATAAAAAAGGGAAAATTGAATTATCCTAAAATTTAGATTCTACCTACAAAGTATTATATTAACTAATTTTAGTAACTATAAAAATAATTATAACTTTATTAAGAGAAGCTATAATAGTCTGAAAACAAAAGATAAAGTATTATGGAACAATATCGACAAGCTTTGGCAATTGAAAGAGAGTATTATAAATTATTAAAGGAAATTAAATTTGAATATGAAAAGTACGAATAATATACAAATAAAAATGAATGACATTAATAAAATAAATCAATAATAATATTAATTGTATTTTAATTTGTGTTTATTACGTTATCAAACCCTATATGTATTACTCAATAGATTGAATGCAGTGTAAAAGATAAAGAAGATCAAATTAACTAATAGAATCGTAATAATCAGATTTAATACAATTATTATTTTTTAACTATTCCAAGCAAAATCTATTATTTGATATTATTGATAATTATAAATTACTTTACTTCATGGGTTGCGGTAGTAGTGCAGGAGCTGTGGTAGAACAAAATAGAGCACCTGGATTCAAAGGTCCAGTTTTTATGACAATAAAGCACGCTTTATTAGAACGGGATGTAAGATTCATAGGAGTTATGGATCCTTATATCAAATTAATTATGGGGAGATAAGAGTTCAAGACACCAGTAGCAAAAGAAGGAGGAAAGCATCCGTACATATACATTCTATTATTATTTAAATAGAAAATGGGAAGGATGTACACATACATTTTAAAAGTTGCTCGGAGAACAAGATGTGATAATAGGATAAGTGTGGTGTGAAAATACTATAACTTCAGACATTTTGATAGGTGAAGGTGCATTTTCTTTGACTTCTTTAAGAAAAGGAAATGCTGAACCAAAAAGAATTTCATTCCTACTCTTCCATCATGGCGAAAAAGCAGGTGAAATAACTTTGGAAGCTACTTTTACTCTTGATCCTAGTGGAAAAGACTTGCCAGAAATCAAAGCCCCAGATACTGAAGGAAAATTCATTGTCAAACCAAAATTTGGTAGGTTAAAGAAGAATACTAATCTATTATTAAAAATGGATCCATTTTTGACAGTTCATTTTGGTAATGAAACTATGAACACCTCCGTAGATGCAGCTGGACATACCACACCAAAATGGACTGATGAAATAATTTTTACAAGAGAGACAAATGAAGATACTTTATACATTGAAGTTTGGGCTGAATCTTTGATAGGATGGAATGACTTCTTGGGATGTGGTAATAGTTTTATTTATCCAATAGGTTATGCTTCAATAACTGATTCCTTAGCACTAAAAGAGAACTAATTGTAAACAGTTACATTATTTTATGATGGAGCAAATGTTGGGGAAGTAGAGATAGAGTGTACATTTAAGACATCTAAACCTCAGGATTACTTGTAAAAGGACAAATAGTCAGCAGAAGCCCCTTCAAAAGAGTCCTTCTAATAATAGCTTTAAACTCAATATTAATAACCATAATAATAATAACCATAGTAATAATAATAATAAGTATTTCCTTAATAATTGAATCAATTCGTTCAAAATTATGAGGTTAGATATCAAAACAATTATGGAATGTAGCCAATGAATGGACGAGTGGATTTCACTTATCCCAATGGAGATCATTATGCTGGAGATATGATGAATAATTTGAAACATGGTTAGGGAAGACTTTAATTTAGTTATGGTGGATACTATGAAGGTCAATGGGCTAATGATTAAGTATATCATATAAGGATATCTTTTAGTACAATGGAACTGGAGTTTTGGTCGTTGGAGACTCTCGATTTGAAGGTTAATTTATAAATGGGAAGAAAAATGGATAAGGAAAATAAGTGTGGAATAATAGATAACAATACGATGGATAATGGATCGATAATAATATGCATGGAAATGGGTAATATACGATAATTATCTAGTGAATGGACATTTGTGAATGGAGCAAAGAAAAAAGGAGTTTGGGCTCATGGAAATAGATTGAGATGGTTGGATGATGACTAAAATATAATTTAAGCTGGCAAAACTATGACTTCAGGATTCATGCTAACAAGTCCAAATTAATAATTTACATTGTCTTTCTTCCATGACGGTCGTTTATACATCTTTCATAATTAAACTAGGCAACCCATTTTTTCAGTATTTATTTTTTAGACAAATAGGCTATTAACTTTAATCGATAGCCAATTCCACCTGTGTGGTTGAAATTTGATCCTTCTGGAGAGTTATAAATGATTGATGCCAAAGGAGTACCATATTGGGTGTCAGGCTAAAACTTTGGTAATTTTGCTCCTCCGTTTGTATTGGTGTTATAAGATGATGGCCGACTAGTTATCTAAGATGCTAATGGATAGCCTAAATGGTATTCACATTGAAATTATCCATAAATAAGAAAAAATTTATATTGTTAAAAATTCATCTTCTTACTGTATTAGTAATAATTACTCTAATTCTAAATTTTATACTCTTATTATTTATCTGCTCACTTATACTATTTTATATTAGGAATCAAACTAAATTTGAGTATAATATTTTAATTACATTATAATCATGAATTAAAGTTATTTACTCTAATTATTTACCCAACCTATAGCTGAAGGATTGCCTATTGTAGAATTAGATCAATTTTTAGATTATATTGCCAAAGTTTAATCTAACCTAGAAAATTAATAATCTGTAGATTTATACATGGAGAACAATTTTTCACTAAAATTAATTTTGATAATGAGAACACTTTATCATTTTGATTCAATTATGCAAATGAATCCTTAGAAATATAACCCTTAACGATTCAAATCAATGGTTATCTTTGCCACTCAACAACTAAGGAAACTATCATAAATCACATAAGAACAAGATCAATAAATAATATTTTCTCTATCCATTCATTTAGGTATTAAATATTTCAAATCTCATCATAAACTAATAACCCATCTAATTGCAATGGTATTTGAAGCATTTTAAGAGAAAAATGAACTATTTGACTTTTTATTGTAATAAATGTAGTAATCCTTAGCAGGTAGTCACCAACATATGTCGACCTCTATTATATCAATATTATTTATTTTGGATTAATTATTGAGATTTCTATTTAACATCAGAACTTTGGATTAATAACTTTAAATTATAATTGAGCAGATATTTCAATAATTTTAATTTATTGATTACTCAAATATTGATCTTTAATTAGGGAAAACATTAAGTAGTATCATAGTAGTATGCATTCAAAAGTACAATTGTTACTAACAAGAAAAATTATTAATATTATCATAAGATCAGCATTTATTAACATTCATTCAAAAGTATTTATTATAAGATTACATAATAACCTCACACTTAGTCAAATCTTTATCCATACTCATTAAAAATTAATAATAAGTTCAGGCTCAACTAAAATTTGATTCACAGTAAGTCCCCTACTTAGCACAATTGACTAATTAAATTTTACCACTACTTATTTAATCATTTTTGGAAAAAAAATTTGATTACTCTACATCTTTATCAGTCTTACAGTTTGTAAACGAATGCTTAAGTTATTCTTTTTCATACGACTTTTTTTTAAATAATTAACAGCAATTATTATTCAATGTAATTTTGAATTAATTAATCTTTGATGACGATGATCACTAAAATTTTTATGAAAACACGACAGACTTTTATGAGAATATCTAAGCCATAATTAATTTTGATGTAAATATTATTTAATTATCTAGAATGACACAATTAAAGGCTTAATAGCATAAATTTTGGATAAACTTTCTTAAAATATAGATGGATTTTTAAAAAATTACTATGATTTGGCATACGAATTATTGCTGTTTCATTTTGAAGTAATTCAGGAAACCTCATTATGCAATAAATTACAGAAGGAAATAATTTAATGTAACTTTTTTACTTGTTCTCCTGATACAAGATATAATACAATTATGTTATCGTTTTGTATTTTAAATAAATAACTTACAACTAGAAAAGATGTTAGATAAAGTATAGAGTATTTTTTAAAGCAAAACTTAAAGTACATGAAAAAAAAGGCAGACACTCTGGGGAAGTGCTTAGGAATGGAATTCATTAAAATTGCTTTGCCTTAAATATTCTGTAATTCTGACAGATCTTTTTCTAAATGTATAAAATTCTGCTTTGGAATCTTAAATTAGTCAAAGCAGAAGCGAGGAGTAAAGCTATTTGCAATTAAATGTCTGATTTATCTCATGTAAAACTAAGATATTTAACAAAAAATGGAAGATTCAATAGCGATTTAGCACAATGAATTTTGTGTTTAATTAGCATAATGCGATCTTGACATCTATTATGAATTCGCATCAATTGTTGTCTAGAATTGTAATTTAATCATAGATACATACCTCGATGATATAATGAAGGCAATTGTAAAAAGAATTGATTTAGGTTGTAAAAAAATCAATTTGAATCAAACATAATATATTAATCATACTTCAATCGTTTTTAGTTGCATAAAGATTGTTGATACTATTTTATCATAACCATATACACTTAAATATACTGTATTTATTGCATAAATAATTTTAGGCCTAACTAGAACCCACTTTGATTTAACTTATTAACTTGTTATTGCAACCAGAAAATTTGTAGTTTGTAGATGAGATCTTTGATGCTGGTGCCAAATTCATTGCATATACAAAGGGTTTGACAGAATTAATACATATAATTTATGATAGTTTACCTGGTATTCTTGAAAAGGAAGGTAAATTAACAATTGAAAGTGTTTTCAAACTCTTTTTGTCAAGCACAATTCATGCTTCTGAAGTGATAAAATCGAAACCTTAGTGGATATCGATAGTATATAAATTTTTTGTAAGTTTTAGATGATAAAATTTGTTTATTCTGAGCTTTATAAAAATGATTCAATTGAAGATAATATCAGAATTTCAATATTAATTCAAACATTCTATCAGTACTATAATTTAGATGAGTGTTGCTTATTGTTAACAGAATAATTTTATAAAATTCTTTCCCTATAATTATAATAAAAAGAAATATTGCCAAAAACTTTTATTTCCATATTTATGCCAGTTATTATGGATAATTCTAAAATATTAAATGCTCATTTAAGATAAATCATTATAAATACAAGTGGCTATATAAACTTGACATTTGGAAGAGCCTTAACAGTTTATAATTATAAATTTTATTTTATGATCATTCACTTTTTAATTCTAAACTCTCACATTCTATATGAAGAACAACATAGACAATAGATAATTGAATAATTGTTTAATAATTTTCTCAATAAATATGCTGCATATATAGAGAAAATATCTTTTCATTAAAAAATTGGAAACCCAAACTTTTCATAATAAGTAAAATATATGTCAACTATTAGATGGAAAAATCTATTCCAAGTTTTGATCTTGAATATTAAGACAATCAACTAGAATTACATTTAAAAGAGATGTCAAACTATAAGAAAGAAAATTAGATTGAAAAACCAAATATGATGGATCTTGATACTACTCGCATAATGTCATAAAATTAACAAACTTAAATTGTTTAAAATATTCTACAGTGTCTAAAAATTAATTACCCCACAATATTATCCTAGCTTACACAGGCAGATCACTTTCTTTTAAATTCAATTTTATAAATTAAAGAAGTTGATGCATAAAATTAGTTGGGCGTTAGATAAATTATGAATGTGAAAAAGTTTTAGAGAAAGAATTAAAATTTGAAATAGTATAATGTTATGTGATCTTCAATATAATTAGGTTGTAAAAATTTTATATTATTTAAATTTAATTCAATACTAAAATTTTTAATGTTATGTGATGACTAGTGTTTCTTTTTTATGACAATTTTAATACACAATTAATAAAGATCAAAAATTAAAATTAAATAAGTCTGAAATAAGTTACAAAAATGTGAATAGTTAAGATTTCACACACCCCATAGGTTATCTAGAATTTTCATTTTTCTCAACTTATTGTTAGAAAATACAAACTATTTTGATGAAAGCAGAAAGAAACATAATGTTGTTGCTTTCTATAAAGTTAAAAAATAAACATATTTTTGAAATTTACCTAATTGTCGAGATATTATTTAATTAACAATTGCCTCAAAAAAATAATACCTCTACAACTGCCAAATAAGTTAAGTATAGCTTTCTCTCATATGTTTGGTGATATCAAATTTATAGAAACTAAATTACCTAAATAAAATTTCAATTTCCTTATTATTTCGATGCTGACTTTATCGTTGAAATTGATTTGGATTTATTTAATTTATTGATCAATTCATAGGATTCTAATTTTAAGCGTAGGTCTTCATGTTTTAAATTATCTAAGTAGCTTCATTAAACATTTGGTGTAACTTCTTTCTCTGGAAGAGATTTTGAAAATATATATATTTGTCATATCATTATAGTTTATAACCAATGTAAAAAAAAATTCCTAATTTTTAATTTAAACTTTTTCCTTATTTTCTAATTTTTCTCCATCTAAGAAACATTTTCAAAAAAAATTGAATAAAGCAATAAAGTGTGATCACCAAAAGTTAATTATTACGATTTTTTAAATTATATTTTTAAGTGATGTGAGCTCAATAATAAAGTTGATTATTTTAATATAATTTATTTCTCTAATAATGGTAAAATATGAATGTCAAAGATGCAAACATATCTAAAGTTATGATGGTTAATGCAGCAATTGTTTGGTATGGGACGCATAAATGAAATAAATAGAAGATCTTAAAAGACTGAATCGAGAACTTAATATAGCTTTCTATGGTGATGGTGGATGTTGTGGTTGCACTGAATAAAAAAGAAGAAAAAGTTTTTATATCTTAGGAGTTATTTCGATTTTAGTTGGTTTAGTCTTACTTATTGGTAATTTTGGTTAGGATTCATCTGATACAGGAATTGGCTTTATTGGTTTAGGGGTGATCTGGTTTCTGGCTGGTCTATGTTGCCCTAATGGATGTTGCGGAGAATATAAAAGAACAAATTAAGGATTGATAGAATGAAAATATAATCATACGATGAACTTTATATACAATCTATAATATTCAGGCTTAATATTGAATGAATTTACATTGAGTATATGTCATTTGCTTATTAATTCATCTCTTGTTGCCAATTCAGTTTACTTTTCAAAGAGAATCTGCTCTTGAAACCATTTATTATTAACCTCAATAACAGTTTATAGATTTTTTTATATTATAGTAGAGATATCAATAAATACTTTAATGGTATCTTTGAAAGAATTTTCATTAATTTATATAGTTGAATTACTAACTGCTATTATTACATTACTTAGTTTCATAATTCTCTAATTTAGGCAATTTTAATAGGTATTCAAAGTCTATACTATAAAGGATGCAAAATTCGCAAATCTTAATAATTTTCTAGATTTTGCAATCATATGCTCTTACATTAATAATATTTAAAAAATAATTTTAATTAAATTGTTGAAATTTAGTGCCTAAACCATAGAGCTATTTTGAAATGGTTTATTAGACAATATATTATTTGATAAGCTCATAAAGAATTAATTGTTATTCTTATTAATTACTTAAATTGAAATCTAAGACTTTAAAAATCAAAAGAAAATCAACCACTTTTAAAAAATTTCAAAAGGAACTTAATAAATAACAATATGAAGCAAATATCTTATTATGTTAATAATATAGACTCATAATTCTTTAATTTAATAATTTTTAAAATGTATCAAACAGAATGTTTTGCGTAATTAGACAACGTTTATTAAACTCAAATATAAATTTAAAATAAATGCTTCCAATTTTACTACCTGCATTTGCAACAGGTTACACTTAAACTATTAACTTAACTTAAGATATAAATCTTTGTTTTGTTTTTAAATTAAATTAATGGCCTGAAATTTCAATTTAAATTAATTGAATTGAAGGAAACAATTTTAGAATTTGATTTAATTCTAGTTTTCCATATCAGGATCTATTTAAATGAGTTAATAAGGCTGTCATTTAACAATAATTTTTGATTGAAAATTATTTTGATACACAAGCGGTTGACGGACTTCTAATCAATCTTAAAGAAATAGCGAAGTCAATTCAATCCTCTGTTTATTTTAGGATTAATAAATATTTTATGAATATTTATAGAGCTGATGTAATTTTCATGAACAAAATATGTAATAATTAAAATAAGGATGTAATTTTGTAAGAATCCTGACAACAATACGATTAAAATATAAAAATAAGCCGTAATCCTAAAGAATTGTTATGCATTTGTGATTTATCAGCTAAGACGGTAGATATGACGAATAGAACAGAAGAAGTTTTACAAATTTATGGTTCAGCCATTGAGAAAAACCTGTAAAATTTAGATTATTATTAGAACTATGTTATGAATTATGTGTCATTTTCAAGCTAATACTTTATATGAATAGAAAAGATTTGAAGAAGCATTAATAAATTATGATTTAGCAATTTAGAAAAATCCAGAAAATTCAAATAATTTTAATTGCAAAGGTATATAATTCAATATTTGTTTAGCTAAGACTCTAGATGAAATGAATAGATTTGAAGAAGCATTTAAAAATTATGATTAACCAATATAAAAAAATCCAGGATATTCTTACTATTACTACAAAAAAGGTAGAGTTAAATACATTATAAATCTCAAGCTATTACTTNTATTCAAAGTCTATACTATAAAGGATGCAAAATTCGCAAATCTTAATAATTTTCTAGATTTTGCAATCATATGCTCTTACATTAATAATATTTAAAAAATAATTTTAATTAAATTGTTGAAATTTAGTGCCTAAACCATAGAGCTATTTTGAAATGGTTTATTAGACAATATATTATTTGATAAGCTCATAAAGAATTAATTGTTATTCTTATTAATTACTTAAATTGAAATCTAAGACTTTAAAAATCAAAAGAAAATCAACCACTTTTAAAAAATTTCAAAAGGAACTTAATAAATAACAATATGAAGCAAATATCTTATTATGTTAATAATATAGACTCATAATTCTTTAATTTAATAATTTTTAAAATGTATCAAACAGAATGTTTTGCGTAATTAGACAACGTTTATTAAACTCAAATATAAATTTAAAATAAATGCTTCCAATTTTACTACCTGCATTTGCAACAGGTTACACTTAAACTATTAACTTAACTTAAGATATAAATCTTTGTTTTGTTTTTAAATTAAATTAATGGCCTGAAATTTCAATTTAAATTAATTGAATTGAAGGAAACAATTTTAGAATTTGATTTAATTCTAGTTTTCCATATCAGGATCTATTTAAATGAGTTAATAAGGCTGTCATTTAACAATAATTTTTGATTGAAAATTATTTTGATACACAAGCGGTTGACGGACTTCTAATCAATCTTAAAGAAATAGCGAAGTCAATTCAATCCTCTGTTTATTTTAGGATTAATAAATATTTTATGAATATTTATAGAGCTGATGTAATTTTCATGAACAAAATATGTAATAATTAAAATAAGGATGTAATTTTGTAAGAATCCTGACAACAATACGATTAAAATATAAAAATAAGCCGTAATCCTAAAGAATTGTTATGCATTTGTGATTTATCAGCTAAGACGGTAGATATGACGAATAGAACAGAAGAAGTTTTACAAATTTATGGTTCAGCCATTGAGAAAAACCTGTAAAATTTAGATTATTATTAGAACTATGTTATGAATTATGTGTCATTTTCAAGCTAATACTTTATATGAATAGAAAAGATTTGAAGAAGCATTAATAAATTATGATTTAGCAATTTAGAAAAATCCAGAAAATTCAAATAATTTTAATTGCAAAGGTATATAATTCAATATTTGTTTAGCTAAGACTCTAGATGAAATGAATAGATTTGAAGAAGCATTTAAAAATTATGATTAACCAATATAAAAAAATCCAGGATATTCTTACTATTACTACAAAAAAGGTAGAGTTAAATACATTATAAATCTCAAGCTATTACTTTGTAGAGAAGATGAATAGATTAGAATAGGCATTACAAAATTAAGATTCAGGGATTTTGAAAAATCCAGAAAATTCACAATTTTTTCATGGCAAAGGTAAATTTTAATATTTGTAATGTAACCAAATACATTATTTTAATTAAAGTTTCATAAAATTTTAGAAAAAATGAATAGATTGAGAGAAGCATTGAATTATTATGATTTAGCAATTTAGAAGAATCCAGAAAATCCAAACAGTTATAATGGCAAAGGTATAATTGTTTAATTATAATATAAGCTAACATATTAGCGAAGATGAATAGATTGGAAGAAGCATTAAATAATTATGATTTAGCAATTTAGAAAGACCCAGAAAATTCAAGTCATTTTAATGGCAAAGGTGTTGAATATTTTGATTTTTAGCTATTACCTTACACAAAATGAATAGATTTAAAGAAGCATTAATAAATCACAATGCAGCAATAATAATAATTCAACATCCTCCTCCGAACAACTAGGCTCGACAGGATTGTTAGGAACTCCCACTCGAAATCTTACTCTCTTCCTTTAATTGCTGATTCTCCTGATGTCATTGTGCTCATTCTAGGTCTGTCTCAGTCCCTCAGGTCGCAGGACAGGCTTAGGAAAAGAATTTTCAGAACACGCCAATTATGAAATCATCAGGGTAATTTTTTATTTTTATGCAGCAATTTCTAAAAATGCAGAAGATTCTGATTATTATTTCAACAAAGGTCTGTTTAATGTGTTTAATTTCTTAGCTATCACTTTATTTTCATCAGATTTAATTAAACACTTTCGACAAAATTTAGAGATTTGAAGAAGCATTGCAAAATTATGATTCAGCAATTTAGAAATACCCTGAAAACTCAAATTATTTTTATAATAAAGGTAGAATTAATATGATTTATTTTTCAGCAAATACATTAGAAAGATTAAATAGATTTGAAGAAGTATTATAAAATTATGATTTGGCCATTTAAAAATATCCAGAAAATTCTGACTTTTACCAAAATAAAGGCAATAATGAAAATTTCGAATTTCCAAGCTAATACATTAGATAAAATGAATAGACTTGAAGAAGTATTGGAATTTTATGATTTGGCAATTTAGAAAAACCCACAAAATTGTGACCATTACCAAAAAAAAGGTAAAATCCCATATTCTTTATTTAAGGTAGCACTTTATTTAATGTAATTTTTCAATATATTAGTTACAATGAATAGATTCGAAGAAGCATTGTTCAATTTTGATTTGGCAATTGTAAGAAATCCAGAAAATTCTATCTTTTACTACAATAAAGGTGTAGTTAAATATATTAATTTCTCAGCTATTGCTTTAGATAAAATGGATAGACCTGAGGAAGCATTAGAAAATTGTGACTAAGCAATTTAGAAAAATCCAGAAAATGCTGACTACTATCACGATAAAGGTGAAATTTAATATTATAATTTCTCAGCTGACACTTTAGGTCAAATGAATAGATTTGAAGAAGCATTACAAAACTACGATTCAGCAATTTAGAAAAATCCAGAAGAATCTAAATATTATAATGGAAAAGGTATTATATATGAGTCTATATTGATAAGCAAATACTTTAAACTTAATGTCTAGATTTGAAGAAGCTTTGTATTATTATGATTAAGCTATTCTCAACGATCCAGAAAATTCTGGATTTTATTTTAATAAAGGTATCGCCAATTATGTTGAATTTATCAGCACATATATTAAATTTTATGACTAGATTTGAATATGCATTACAATATTTTGATTTAGCTATTATGAATGATCCAGAAATTTCTGAATATTATAATGGCAAAGGTATTATTAATTCATTAAGACAGACTATTTCATATAAAGTATAAATATAATGTGTAGATTTGAAGAAGCTATGGAGCATTATGATTAAGCTATTCTTATAAATCCAGAAAATTTTGACTATTATTTTAACAAAGGTCTAATTTATTTGTATAATTATTTAGCTAATTTATTATAGACCTGAAGAATCATTATAATATTACGATTCAAATATTTTACATAATTTTACACAATCTAACTATTACAATGGCAAAGGTATATTCATTCTATTAACCAATCTTTCAGCTAATGCTTTAATAAAAATGAATAGACCCGAAGAAGCTATGATATATTTTTCTTTAGCAAATTGTAACCCATTACCAAAATTTTAAAGCTATTCATCATATAATCCATGTATAAGATTTATCTAAATATTTTGATCACACATTATTGTAAATGAATAGATTGAACGAATCATTATAATATTTTGATTTGGAAATTAAAAAAAATCCAGATAATTCAAGAATTACCATAACAAAGGCAATTTACTTTTTTGAATTTAGCACTTATAAGTTATGGAGAAATTTGAAGAAGCAGTAGAATATTGTGATTTAGCAATCTAGAAAAAATCTGAAAATTCAGGTGATTATTACTATACTTTAGGTATTAAATCTGATATATTTGAGCTGTAATTCTAAAGTAACTAAATAGATTTGAAGTAGCATTAGAATGTTTTGAATAGGGTATCTAGCAACACCCTGAATATCCAAACTATTATTACAATGTTTCAATAACACAAGTGATTACGGCAAATATGTAATTTACTTACTCTTAATGCTTAGCTATTGAAGATTCATAACTATGTTAGAATAAATCAGATGGACTAATGGTACTCTTTAGGTAATGATTAATAGCTAATTAAGGAATGGCCTTCTTTAAAATTGTAATTCTATTTGTATTTTATTGATCATCATTTCTATTTAATTTAACAGAAAAATATACAATTGTATTAATTATTTCTCTTTAATTTCAGATAGGAATTCTGTATTAATATCTGCCAAGCTTATTATACTAATACATAAACTCAGCTTTAATGATTATATTAGTCCTCTTATTTGCCTTTTACAAAGCCCACTTTTTTTATCAAAAATGTAATTAATGTAAAATATCAAACCAACAAATTTGATCTTGAAACATTTTACATATTTTTGGTTATAATTTAAATATTACGTTCAAAAAAAAAGCTATTTTTAATGAGTGTTGAGNGATTAATAGAGCAATCTGCAGGAGGATAAGTTCGAGCCTTTCAGTCCCTTAGAGGCTAAGTTAGAGGACCTTTCATTAGCAAGGAGAGTTCATTAAAATGTAATTAGTGCCTCGACTTCCCTATAAAATTATATAATTTGTTTTTTGAGTTTGAATAGAATTTAGAAAAATACCCAAATGGACATTACAATGTTTCAATAACACAAGTGATTACGGCAAATATGTAATTTACTTACTCTTAATGCTTAGCTATTGAAGATTCATAACTATGTTAGAATAAATCAGATGGACTAATGGTACTCTTTAGGTAATGATTAATAGCTAATTAAGGAATGGCCTTCTTTAAAATTGTAATTCTATTTGTATTTTATTGATCATCATTTCTATTTAATTTAACAGAAAAATATACAATTGTATTAATTATTTCTCTTTAATTTCAGATAGGAATTCTGTATTAATATCTGCCAAGCTTATTATACTAATACATAAACTCAGCTTTAATGATTATATTAGTCCTCTTATTTGCCTTTTACAAAGCCCACTTTTTTTATCAAAAATGTAATTAATGTAAAATATCAAACCAACAAATTTGATCTTGAAACATTTTACATATTTTTGGTTATAATTTAAATATTACGTTCAAAAAAAAAGCTATTTTTAATGAGTGTTGAGTTTCATAAAGCAAACAATGTCAGAAAATATGACCTGTCAATTTTACCATCTGAAGTTAATAGTTTGTATATTTTTTTAGTTGAACTAAGATTATCTTACAAATAAATTACCTTAAAGCGTATTATATTACTATTTCAAACATTTATAACTTGCGTGAATTAGTTGCAAATTTATTTAATTATTTAATTAAAATTTTTAAACCCAAAATGATAGAAAATGAGAAAGATTTTTCTTGTTGGTAAGGACATTAGTTACCTGTTGTTACTATTGCACTTGATCCATAATTATCAAGGAATCAAAGACTCTTATGCACAGAATGGTTAGAGAATACAGACTTAGATGCTAAAGTAGTCGAATTAAAGAAAATAATTTCATTAATTGAAGAAGCCTAATTAAAGAAGATGGAAAAAGTAGAATATGTAATAGTTAACTAAATAAAGTTAATTGAATAATTAAATAGTATTGTAGATCAAATGAAATCATATGCGATCTAATAATTTGACTCATAGATTACAATAATAACGGAATGGATTAAAAATCTATAATATTAAAGATCATAATAATCTCAGTATAGCTTTATGAACAATTAGAAATTACGATTATGAAATAAAATAAAATTGATGATAACTCTTAATAATTGATTCATGAAATTTAATAAACAAATCACTGTTGGACTTCTAAATTATATCCTAGATTAGAATTATTTAATACATTCTTAGAATATCAAAAATGTAAAGAATTATTCTCAAATTTAGAATTTATACTTAGATATTTACTCTAAATTAATAATAATAATAAATAACAATAAATTAACTTAATTATGATAAATAAGAATTATTATAGAAATCTCAAATCAGATTAAACCTAATTGATTAATCTGTTAAATAGAATGATATCAAACTAATATAAAGATATTAAAGTATGGAGTTTTCTAAATGGAACAATCAAATTAGTAAAAACATTGCAAGGACATAGTAATGTCTAATGTTTAGTTGTTAGTAAAAAATAGAATTCGTTTATTTCATGTTCTTCAGACGGAACAATAAGATGTTGGTAAAAAATAACTAAACTGAGTGGATTTCTTCTCAACCTTATTAATAGCATACAGCTCATGTTATGTGTATTATATTGAATTCAAATGAGGATTTACTATTTTCTGGAAGTTATGACTAATCAGTTACAGTTTGGAAGGTTGATTTTAATCAAAATAAATTTGGCATTTCTGTATTCTTTGGATGAACATAGTGATATGGTTGTGTCTTTAAGTTTAAATTAGTCAGAAAATTAACTAGTTTCATGTGCTGATGGTTAGAATTAAATAATTATTTGGGAAAGAAGAGAAGAAGATAAATTTGAGTTCAAATATTTTGATAAATAATCAATTAATGACTTTGGGTTGAAAGTTAAGTTCATCAAAGAGAATTAATTTATTTGGATAACTGGTGAGAAACAAACAGACTTTATGTATTTGAATTAAATTAAGGAGTCTATTAAGAAAAATAGGATAAGACAATTCAATTAATTACAAATAATGAAGATTATGATGAATTCCGTTTTCCAATAATTTATAATAAGGGAAGGAATTTAATAGTAGTAAGACATAAGAAATACATATATATCATTAAAGAAATTAATGATGGGAAATTTAAAATTTAAGATCAATTAAATTGTGATACTTAAGAAATTTATGGAAATATCACAAATAATGGACAATATTTGGTTTATTGGGATAAAAAAAATTAAGCATGTTCAACATAAGAATTATTAAATAAATGAATAACATTTTAAAAATTCAATATTTAGATTTTATTAATAAATACTATAAAATAGTCATCTCATCATCTATTAGATATATCAATTTAGATTCTTAAGATTAAAATCATGTTTATTTACCTCAAATACTTAAAAGAATAGATTAATTGGAAAAACTAGCAATATTTAAATATTGTAAATTTCATTTTTTCCTAAATTTAATAATAGCTTGATGTAATTTGGAAATTCAAACACAAATAGCTGATAAAATTAAGGATATATTTACTTATTCCTGTGCAGTAATTTTGGGCCTAGTTAATAACTTTATGATATAATCATAAAAAAAATAACATCCCTCATCTATTAGTGGATACTCTTTATGAAAATCTAATCCTAACATAAAAAGGTAGTTTTTAAATGAATTCATAAGAAAGAATAATGAAGCGATTGTGACTTAAACATTAACTTGTGGTTGTAAATCTTGAAAATAAGAAGAAATTAAATTTGCATTAGGCTTGATTAAAATATATAATTTTCTATAAATGCCAGCTTTATAGATAAGACAGGACAAGATGCAATTGCAAGATTTTAATTTGAACATTTAATTTATTTCATAAACTCACATTAACGTTAAATTATATTTTAGAAAACTTGATATAAGATCATATTAATGAATTATAAATTCCTCATTTCTCATTAAATTGCAAAATAAGTTTTATTTGTTTTAGATTGTAATTTCTTTAATTTGAAAAAAGAGTTTATTTAGTTCTGTAAATATCTCCTATTTTTATAGGTTATTGGTTTATCTTTTTTATATATTTATAATTTAACATTTCATCTTTTACGTTCAGACACCAACGTACAAAAATCATTTATTGAATTAAAATATAAGACTTTATTCTCTGTTTTATTATTATTATCCAATAGTTTATAGTTTTGAAAATTTTTGTACTCAGACAAAATTATTTTTTCGTAAATTTCTGATGAAATCATAATTAAAGCACCCAAAGGATGTTCATCCTAGGCCTTCCTCGTCAATGGAAGATAAAGAGGAGGCTTAGATGGAGTGCGTTGACATTTAGAGAGGTCAAGAATTGATAAGGGGAAAGAAAGTGAGATTCAGGACTAAGGAGCCCCTACAAATCCTGTCGGGCCTAGCTTCTCAGAGGAGGATGTTGAATTATTTATTCAAACTGATACTGTAAATTCAAATAATTCTAAATTGCAATTTAAAGATTAAATCTTATTCCCTTTTCATTTTTCATCAGCAAATTTTTCTAAAAGTTGATCTTGTATGAGTAATAACCTTACTCTATGGATTTTTGAATTTATTAGAGAAATACTTTCAAAGATCTTAAGAACATAAAATCAAAAGAACTGTTTTTTATGCTTGCCTTTCATTAATTTTCACTCAAAATTTATTAAAAATGTTGCAGCTAATCAACTCTTCTTGCTTTGTGACAATTTAATCACCACAAACAGAGTGAAAATTGTTATTAACAAACTCATAACCATCTCCACATTTATAATACATTATCCTTGATTACATTTGTTTCAATCTTCAATACATTGAAACTTACATTAAAAACAACCATCGTAAAGTTGAAGATTTCCATCATCACAATCCTCGTATTATTTGAGTACATTTAAAATCCTACTTCACACTCTAAGCAAATTGAAAATTAGTTTATTGTACAATTAGCAATTGAATTAAATTTGCAATCAAGACAGCAATCCCATACACCATTAACAGTCAGTTCACATTATTCAACTGAATATGGGGTCAATTGCTATCTCCATGCAACAAGAATTATTAGATATTAGATTATTCTTAACCTTGAATCATTCTAACTTTACAAATTGGATTTGCAATTTTTAGAAATTCATCTTAATTTCAACCTTCTTGACAAATCAGACAGTTATTTATTCTAAACAACCTTTATTTAAATTCAAAAATTATTTCTGCCTAAGTATAATATACTTCAAAATCTCTTATAACACTAAATTCTCATTTATTAAACAAACCTTATTAATATATCTTAATGAGGATATAATTCAGTTTAATACTTAATTTGCTAAAATTTCAAAGCTTCACAAATCCCAAATTAACTATTTATAAATAATGAACCTGCTTAAAAAGTCTATCCATCAGAATTAGTCATCTATTTCTAATTAAATATGCAGTTTCCATTCTAAAACGATTGTAGGATAAATAACAATGCATGCATAACATTCATACTAACAAATGATACTAAATTTTAATGAAATTAATCCTCCATAATTTTTAATAATCCTCATAAAAATAAGTCTTATATTATCCTATAGAACAATAGAAATAGTAGCTCTGAATCAAAACATATCAAACCTTAAGATGAAATCATTTTCTTTGAATCTGATATTCTTTTGTCTAATTATAAAGATGGTAGAATATTTTTATCAATACTTTTGTAATTTAAGAGTAATAAATACCTTAGAAATTGAGCATCCACTATAAGATGAGAATGAGGCTCTATGTCAAAAAAAATTCTGTTATGATAGAAATTATCTAATTTATTATAATTTAATAGTTACCATTAGGAGACCCAAAATATTGTATTCCTCCACAAGTATTTTAATTAGAACTACCTTCCCATCCTAGAAGAAATTACAGAAATTGCCTTTATATGTGTTAGAATTAATATTCAACTCATAAATCACAGCTTGATGAGTTGTGTAGAGTATATTAAAGAGTATTATCATTATTATTATTAATTAAGATTTTTCAGTTCATAGAATGATATTAATGCGATAATATAAATCAATTAATCACTTAATTATTTAAAGAATTTTCCAAATTAAACAAGCAATGCTCCTAATCAGCACCATGAAACAACTATTATCACTAATTTTTCTAAAATTCCTCATCCACTGTGATAAATTCATCTAACAGGTTACTCAACATCTGTTATTCATTAAGACTTGTTTGATGAGTATTTTATTTTTAATTTTTACATAATTATTCCAGAAAAATAACTAATGCAATTAATATTTAGTGTCTTATTTCCATTAATTAAAATTCAAAATTATAGAAATAAAGATTAGATTTTCTCCTTTTCATAATAATAAATCTTTTAAATTTTCTAAGATTAAATTTAAAATTCGAATATCACTTGGTTAAAACAAAACCAATTAT